TGGTCTACCACAGAAAGAAATGGTAACCTATTGCAGGAAAAAAAAATCTGCCTCGTCAGTCATGTATCGAAAGATACATGATCGCCAAAGAAGCGTGTATCACGCATGGCACTTACTGACTGATATAATGACAATAATTAATTGATCTTTTAATAAATTTAAGGACTTTTTAAAAAAAAAAAAGATTATCTTTCTGGATTGTGAGGTAAAAAAACGAAATTACTGAGTTGATTCGCATGAAACTGGAAAAATTTTATTTTATTTTTTATTTATTTACAAATAAGCAGAACGTAAGAATCAACAATGAAAGTAAGAAAATAATCCAAATACGCCTAGAAAGAGTACTACACAGATTATTTGACATTTCAAAAATAAATATAAATAAACTTGTAGCACTTGTAAATAAAAAAAATTAAGCTCGAAACTGAAATGCTCAGAAAGCGTTAAATTAACTTAAATAAAATAAAATCATAAATAATCGAAATCTACTTCTTCTCTAACTTAAAAAATAACAAAAGAAAACAAAAATACAATGACTTGTATTCTTCAAATTAAAAACAACTCTAAACTTTTTAAATAAATTACTTCTCACAAAAAATAAAATCGTATAAAAAATAAAAAATGAAAATATAAAAAAGATAAAATTAAATAGAAACTGATGAAATACTTTTCAAGTTTTCAATTCATTTCAATTTTCAATTATAATTTTTTTTAACTCAAGCTATGCTAAAAAACAATGACTTTAAAAACGTTTCGTTTCGGATTTCAACTTTTTCAATTACTTTACAGTACACTCAATAACTAAATAAATTGGTGAATTAAACATTTTGATGTTTATGAAGAATATAAACTGTGATTTATAAAATAATTATACCAAAGAAAAAAAATTTACTTAGTAAATGTTTTTTTATTGTCTTTAGCGCCGTCTGTCGGGCATGAGTTAAAAATTACCGCAGACAATTTTTATTTTCAATGAGCAGACGACATTGTGGTTAAGATTCGGAAAAGATTCAACAATTCATACGTAAAAAAAGTTTTTTCCCCGATTTTCTTTTCAATTCTTTTTCTATTTATGTTTGTAACTGTTTATTTTTGCTTTTTTAACTTAAAGAAATTTGTCGATATAAGACTTTAAATCCTTCATTGAAATGTAAGTTTGTTTCTTTTTGTTTTTTGTTAGTCTTTTTTTGTTCAATCACTGGAAAGTGAAGAAAAAAACCATGAAAAGGAAATATATCCCAATAATTTACTTTCTTATTTCTTACAGTTCAAACGGTTTTGTCTTAATCTTAAAAAAAATAGTTTATGCTTTATTTACATTTATAGTTATAAATCTTAAAAATTAAAATTTTCTCATGTTTTAAGAAAATATAATCATAAAGATTTGAACTATAAATTTATGAAAAGCAAAATAACCGGGGTTTATTTAATTTTCACAGACTTACTGTTCAAATATTGTTTTGTAATATTGAGATTAACAAGAAAAAATATTTTCTATTTCAGTAAACCTTTAATGTATAAAGCTTAAAAAATTTGCCCTGCCATAAAACAAAAAATACTGCCAAATACTAAAAATATTTTAATAAAACTAAAAGATTCTTTAAACAATAAACAGAATCTTAAACAAACACAAACATCTAACTACACATATATTTACATGTCCCACACACACAAAAAGTATGTGTATGTAATATATAAATATGTGTGTATTTATATCAGGCATGGTGCTATAAAATAAGTCAGAAGTGGGGTGAGTAAAAATCAGATATTAAAAATTCCTGATATATATATACCATCTGATCCTTTCATAAAATGAATGTTTTTATCTTACTGTAAATATCTTTTCTTTTTTCATTTTTATTTTAAATACATTCTTTTTTTTTTATTAAAATTGATCTAGGCTTGGATAATACACACACATATGTATGCGTGTGTTTATATATTGATTCTCATAGAAATTATACATGAAATGCTATATGTTTATGTGTTTGCATGGATGTGCTCAACGAATTCTCTGTGTACATATATAGTGAAAGAGTAAAAATTATTTATATGATAGTTAAAATTAATTACAATTTATAGTGACTACTAATTGATTTTATCATATTTTTTCCACCAGTTTCAAAATGGCTGAAGATCAAGTTGTTCAAGAAATGATTGAACATGAAGATGAAGAGGTGAGAATTTGAAATTAATATTGATCAAATGTTTTGTATTTTAATCACTATGCACACATACACACACACACACACACACACACACACATGATAAAAAATGTATTTGTAAGGTATATATATGATAAAAATGTATATGTAAGGTATATCTATGTGTAGTGACTACTACTATGTTTGCCACACCTACAGTTTTCTCAACTGTGATTGGTTAAATAATAAATACTGTTTACCACAGGACAATTTACTAATCACAGTCACCACACTGAATTTTTTCTGTCGTGAATTTCACAAACATGCTTTTGTTAGAAAATCACCGATTGGTTAATTTTTCATCCAATCATATATTTTCTGTGTTCGTTCAATTCTCCCGCCTTTGTTTCCTGAATCCTACCAATAGTTATAAAAGCAGTTTTTTGTTCCACAAATAGACAGTAGAATTCAGCAACTCACACTTGTCTACTATTGATTCTACTCACTATGCACACACAGACACAAAACTTGAATTACATTTCACCATCCATTTTCTGTGAACAAGCCAAGTTACAAACCAACACTCTGTTAGTTATACAAATAACACACAACTGAATTAACTGTATGTTTTTCTGAATGCAACATTTTATTTCAACATAGAACTTTGAACATTCTATTCAAGAAACATCTTTAATTACATTTTATCTTATTCAAGCTAACAGATAAAGGGAAACTACTTTATTTTCCTTAATATTCACACATTACAAAAATTGTTTTGTATATGTTGATTTTAATATATATTTTATGGTTAAAACAAAAATCATTTTTCTCATTGTTTTTCCTTGATTCAATAATGTATAAATGTTAAATGCTCTTCAACATGCAGCCACATTAATCTCTTCAACATAGTACACAAGCAGCATTTACATATGGATACAAGTGCTCAATATCAGAGATAATAGTATATATATATATATATATATATATATATATATATATATATATATATCATATCATATAAAACTCCTTATATCTTATTTTTTTATAAAAATTCTGGGAAAAAATGCTGAAGCTTAATATCAAAATTATTTTGAAAAGATCCTCTCCCATATACCAAAATTAATAGATTTCTGACAGATTTTTACTTTGTGCATAATATAATTTATTTAAGATTTAAGTATTGATATTTTTTCTATTTCAGTTTGTTGAAAAAATTTATAGATTACTGAAAAATGCTTACAAATAGCAAAAAATATCTAACTATTCATCATATTTTGATTAGAATTCAACAGAGAAATATTAAATATGAATGCAGTTGTACAAACATCTGTAGGTTATCCTATCTGGCTTCACTGAACACACGTTAGGTGGCACTGTTTAAGTTCTATAAAAAGACAAACATTTCCTTCCTCTTCCTCCAAGATGGAGCAGAACGTATATATGAGGATGTCCCTGCTGGAGCATATTCATTTTTCTGGTCACCTAAACTCTTATACACACACATGCAAGCACATTCTTAATAGCTAAGTTTTTAATGTCTTTTCCTTTCCTTTCAGCTGTGTAATTTCTTTTTGTTAATACATGCATTCATTGTTTGTTTAAAAACAATGTTTTGTGTCTTGTTTTTATCTAGACTGACATGAGTCTGCCAAATATTGTTTGCAGGAAAAATGTTCCAGGTGCCTTTAAATGTTTACAGAAAAATGTCTATATCACACCACAAAAGTAGTCAACCCACAACACATCTTATAATAAAATATAAATTAAGAAAACTTTACATAAATTTCCATAATTTTCTATGCTTATTATTAAATGTTACTTTTACTTTTTGTTTTCCCCAGTCTAAAGAAACTCTTTATTCAGAATAAGAACTTTTTCAGAGACATATCTGTAATGATATTTCATGACCACAAAAATAAATTATGTTTATTTTAACTAAATTTTGTGTATATTATCATTTTATGTTTTCATTTATGTCATTTTTTTCATTCCATAGATTTTTTTGTATTTCACAGAATATGTATTTGAGAAAAGTAATTATTTACCATATCAAATTAACTGTTTGTTAATTCTCTTTTAAAAGATATTTTTACAAAAATCTACCATCTTGAGTTTTGTATACATTATAAGCCAAAAGTTTGGGACCACCCTCTGGATTTAATAATTAAGTTTCATGCCTTCTTCCATTTAATTAACTCCTACTAAGCTAGGATGCTGGAATTATTTAATTCATTAGTGTCCATTTTTTTAGAGCGGGGGATTACTTAAAATTTTAAATCCACCAGCCCTAAGATTACCATTAGCCAGCAAGGTAGATTAAGTAAAAAAGTTAAAATTTTAAGGAAACTTTATGCAGTAATAGGTTAATTTTATGGTTATTATTGAATATATGATAAAACCCTTCAGGAAGACAAAATCCCTTAGGCTCCAAGAGAGCAAGTAAATTAGTTCTGAAAAAGCATGTATCCTTCAATTTTTAGGCAATTCTTCAAAAACAGAGAGTGTTTCCAAACTTTTGGCCTATAGTGTATATCCTCTCTTAATAAGAATAGACAACAAAAGGTTCCCTTATCATTTTTACATAGTATTATATCAATTTAGGCTTTTAAATTTATTGTTTGGAGATCTAGTTTCTTTATAAAGAAATTACTTTAATTGAAGCAAAAAATACATCCAAAATTGCTTACTGGATTCACCTGCTGAAGTTATTTGATTCTGAAAAGTTGTGTCTGAATAAATATGAATTCACTTTGATTCAGTTTTGTTTCAACATTAGTTTTCCTGTTTTTAAAGATACAAAATGTGATTTTATATTTCAGGAATCTTTTTTTCAAGATATTGATTTACTTCAGAATCATGGCATTGTAAGTATAGTCAGATAAATTCTACATTTTAATTTCTTGCTGTAATTTGTTTTTTATTTTGTTTTGTAACTGTCTCCTTATTTGTGAAAACTTTTTCCAATGTTGATAATGTTAAGGTAGAATTCAACTTGTAAAAATGACTACTATTTGAAGTTGTTTGCAATGGACTTGTACAATAGGCACTGCAACCAGAATTAATAATTATTTCAAATTTGTTTTTCATATCATTATGATAGGTATTCTCTCTGACAGATGTCTCATCAAGAGAAGATAACTCTCCCATAGGTATAGTGATACTGCCTTTTAAGCAGTACCTCATTTACATATCACTACATTTCCCTGAACCTAAGAAGTTTTATAACTTTAGTTGATCTTTGACTTCTATGAAAAACCGTAAGAGAAATCATCTGTCTCTCAGAGTGAGTCTTTATTTCTTTTTATGGGAGAGCTAGGTCTTAACTGATTCTTCTCATTTGAATCAGCATTATATCTCCATTCACTCTCATCTCCAGATTGTTCCTCACTACTACTGGATACACTCATTCTCTTTTCCCTCTCATATTTCTGGTAGTCTTCCTGATCACTCTCAATACTGGATTCATTCATCCTTTCTTGCATTGTGTGTTCTGCTTCCTCCTCCTTTTCCATAACTTCATGCTCTCTTGTGCTTCTAAAATGTTTTTTGTGAGCCAGTATGCCCTGTCCAATCTGTGTTAACACAGCTGTGTTAAATTCCTTTTGCAACACAAAATTTGCTTTTTCAGGACTTGAATCTTTGTCCTTTCTGTACCATACACTTTCAACTGATATAGTTGTCAGAGCTCTTATTTATCTTCTCATCATTGCTGATGGGCTTTGTCTTCTGTCTGCATGCAGAATAGCACTATCAGTTAAGAATAGTCTGGATAAATAACTCTCTATATCATAATCCACTGGCAAGAATGCTTTTAATCCCATTTTTACCATTTGAACCATTCTCTCTGCAATTCCATTTGACTGTGGGTGGTAAGGTGGTGTTTTATATGGAATGCAGCCAATACATTTTAACTATGCACATAAACTTTCTTCACAAAACTCAGGTGCATTGTTGGAGACCAAGATTTTTGGAACTCCATTTTTCAAAAACACTATCCTCAACACCCGCTTCACAGTAGTGGCTTCACAGTAGTAGCTTTTCTATCTGCGACTTTAATAACCTTGGCCAACCTGAATATGATTTAACTAATATCAGAAATAGTCCTATACCTTTAATGTAGGCATGATCTATATGTACTTGTGTCCATGGCTCCATTTTCTTTGGCCAAGGTTGAACTTTATTTAAATTTCTTCATTTCTGCACACTTTGGGCACTTTTTAACATATTCTTCCATGTCTCTCAAATAGCCTGGCCACCATGCTTGCAACTTTAACCTCATTTGCATAGCCAATATACCTCCATGTATATTATTGTGCACAGCCTTAATTACTTTTTTTCTCAGAAATTGTGGAGGTACTATGATATCTCCATTACATATAATTCTTTTTTCTATTGTTAATTTGCGTCTTGAATCATTATAAGCCAGAGAAAAATTACTCCATGTATTTCTCTTTTTTCTATCCATAATTCTATTCAACACTGGATCATGCCTAGTTCCCAACTGAAGCTGATTTAAGGGTAATATGTCCATTTCTATCTAGTGTAAAATCCTGTCCAGACAATTTTCACTTGCTTCAACATTTTTAATCTTAAAATTTAACTGAAATAATGCATCCACATGCAGAATAGTATTTCCTTTGATATATACAATGTCAAAATTGAATGCCATAAGCTTAATCTTAATATCCTGGCAAATGTGATCTTTGGCAACTCTCTTCTGGAGTTGAATATAAATTTCAAAGGCTTATGATCAGATTTTAATAGAAATTTCCTTCCCAGCAAAAAATTTCTAGCTCTTTCCATACTCCACACAATTACCAATGCCTCAATATTTGAATAATTTGCCTCTGCCAATGTTAATTTTCTGGATAAGTACATTACAGGGTGATCCTCCTGCAACTATATTGCAGCTATAGCACAGTCACTGGCATAAGTAGTTTATGTCAGTTCTTTTGCTAGGTCAAAAATTTTAACAACTGATTTATTTATGAGTGCCTTTTTTAATTTCTCAAAAGCAACTTGTCTTTTTGTCTATTGAAACTCACTATTCTTCTTCCTTATTTTGTTAAAGCAAAAGTGATACTCCCTTTTATACAGTACCTCATTTACATATCACTACACCTATTAATATAGACTAAGCACTCCTGACTATGAATATTAAAAAAAAAAAACTTATTAAATATTATAAATGTTAATAATAGGGTCCAGTTTGCTATGCAATTTCATTGTAAATTGATGTTGGTGAAAACAAAATATGTGGCTACTGTGGTGGATGTCAGCCATATTTGTCTCCTCTTGGACCAATTATAAATGAACATTCCATACCTACCTGTCACTCCTCCAGGATAATGCATTTTTCATGCATAATCACCTCTTAACCAATTAGCATCTTAGTTTCAGCAAACTAGGTCTTTCATTGGCTGAGACCTTAAAACTGTAGCAAGTTTGAGCAAAAATACCTTTTTCCGCGTACCACTTTTGGAGCTGATTCTGAGACTACAAACTCAATAAATAGAAGCGTTTCGATTTGATTCAAACAGTCAGAACTTCAACACCACAATGCCACACTTGGAGAGCCACAAACGTGTCTCAAGGTTGGCTTTTCTACGCCGCACATTGACGGGAGATTCAATTATGGCGTGGATTGTTAGGAACGCATTCCCTTTCTTTACTATCAGCCCCCCCATCTCGCCAATTGAGTGTCATTGTAAACCCTGGGATCAATCGAGTGTCTGTTGGCCTTGTTGGCTGTTCCTTGGTCCAGTGACCTTTCTCAGCCTAGGAAGGTCTTCTAGTGGAGGGGGTCACGAAGGATTCCCTATGTGGGGAGCTTGACTTGTTGAAGGAGGAGTTTTGCTCTTACTGGTCTTGAGCGCCAGCGGCGGATTATCTCAGCAACCTGTTTTCGCTTACCTGACGATTGGCTTGGAATCGGCTGCCTCTCAATGACAAGGCCTTCATATGGGGCTTGGCGGATTTGCCAGACTGTGAACAGTGTGGCCTATTTTTAGAGGAAATGGCTTCACACGCCTTCCCCTTCTATCATTGTCCCCGGGTCTGCTCCTTATCGGACCATGTCGGCGAGCCTACAGCTCATATCGCTCCCGAAAAGCTTGTGCCCATTGATTGCGCATACGCGTGTAAAAATGTGTCGCCCCCGTAATCTGGGGTGAAACATGGTATTTCTGACGCTGCTGGCCATGGCCTGAATGGTGATTTGGACGACGCGACAGGAGGAAGTCTTGCGGGGTATCCGTCTTTCTCATTAGGATCTGATCTAATTCTTTGAGCACCAGCTCAAGATGAAGATTAGAACTGATAGAAAATGCTTGCATTCGACAGTCTTCAGCGAAAAGTGGGTGACTGAGGCGAGCTTGGTTCATTTGAACAGGGCTAGCCTTGATTTTCTCTTTTAGGTCAAGCCTACGTCACATCCGGGTGGTTTCCTGTGGAGCCCTCCCCTTGGTTAGGTTAGACAAGCTTTTGTGTACCTAGTTAATGTGAGTAAGTGTTGTTCCCGACCCGTCCCCAGCCACATCTTTGGTTATGATCCAGGTTGAGATACCCAACCTCCCCAGTTTGTTTTTGGCCCCTTTTTATCTCAACTGGGTCAGCTTTATATTTTCCCATGCCCGTATGATTTTTTATCCTTTTCCCACTCCCTTAACGAGAGTGTTCCTTGATTTTGTCCAAGTGGACAGAATACAGTGGCCTCTCATTTTTGAGGGTTGGACGGGTCCTACTAACATCAGTTATGTTTAGTTGCTTTTGTGTATCATTTTAGTTTATAATTGGGTTCATCTCCCTCCCCCTTTCATTTTATGCAGCCATAAATTTTTAATTGTACATATATAATCATTATATTTTTATGGCATGGGGCGTGTTTTGTAGGTCCCCCTTGAGAGGATGTGGTATTATGGTGTATGGAGGATTGATCAGTGACAGACGAGTTCTTTTGGTGAATGTGGAAATTGTAATGTATGAATGGGTCGTGAATCGGATTAGCTAGGTATAAGACAGATAGTGAAGACCAGCCTTAACCCCCCCCTTTTCGGCCTTGTGCCATAATTGTATTTCTGAATACAATAAATATAGTCAGAACTTCAACCCTGGAGAGATGCTAAATAAATCCACGCTAGCCAAAACTTTGACCTAACTACACTTTTCATGTGCTAATTCTTCTGACTCGACAAACAGCACTTCGCACTCTCAGGAACATTACTCACAACATAATAAAGAAAGTAAATAGACCCACTACTAAACAGTATTTGTAAATCTCAATCCAACATCAAGACAACAGCTAAAGGTACACAACTCTTACAAACTTTGAACAGTAATTTTTACAAACGCACACATACACATTAGTGACTGAACTCCCACAAAAGACATTTTGTGTAATACGATAAAACATCTTGTTTAATTTCATACACAAATCCTAACCACAAGCCTACACACATTGAAACACAGCATAATCCTTCTACATATTTTATTACAACTGGTTGCACTTGATCAGCAATATCTATCTTGATTGTGTATGTTTAATTGATATAAAATGAATGTTATTTGTTAAACTTTTAATCACGTTGTCCTCATTTTTGGTTCCTCCTGAATGATTTTACCTTCAATGTTCTTATTTTTATATTTGTTGTGGATGAATGTCTTGTGAACACCTACATTTCTAAGCCTTCTGATAACCTAACCTTCTGATACACAAAATACATTTGCCAATCTGCAACAAGCATAATAATCAAGGGGGTTGCAGTCTGACAGCCATGACTGGGTCCTCCTGCTAGTGTGGCATGGTGCAGAGACCTCTTGCCAAAAATAGTGTATTCCAGCAGCTAACCTCTTCACCCAAGGCAACACTACCTCCTCAAGGCACTTGATGTAGGCCTTCGTGTTGAGTCTGAGGCCCTCACCAATAAATTCAGGAGTTCTTTTTTTAATTAGGACATTCAGAGTGAGTTTTCCAAGCTGCCATACCTTCATAATCACCATTAGATTTATTCAACTCTGCACTGTCCTTAGATTGACATGCAGACACTCTGAAATGTTTGTATTGGAGCTTCTGGTATGAATGCCAAACAGTACAGCATACCATTACCAAATTTCTGGTGGTGTGAATTGCATCATACTTCTCTTTTTCTCACAGACAGTGCACAACTGACACTATTATATTGTGCAGTTGACAAAATCAAAAACAAACAATGTACATGCAGGAAATTAAAAATATAAAATGGCGACAATTTACATATTGTACCTCGTATAACCAAAACATATTTTAAAAAAAGAATTTTAAATTTACATTTTAAATTCTCAGTCTCCCCTTTATTTCATGTGCATATATAGTTGCATTAATGTAAATATCACTTTAGTCTGATGAAATCCTAAAGGATGAAACATGTCACACAAAAGCTTTTTCCACTTTTTCATAGATTTCCCTAAAATGTTTTAAAAAATATTTTTTTAAATACAAGTTATTTCAATTAGAATATAATGTACTAATTACAATGATTAACAATTTTTGAAAGGTTTAGTTCATTATGTATTTCTATATTTATACTACTTTATTTTTAAAAATATCTAAAATATGTTGAAAATCTGTATAAATTAAGATTTAGTAAAAAGAAAAAATTAGACAGATTCAAATTATAGCAGACACAATATTTGAACATATTGTCCCTACACACAACCCACCAATCTACCACGTGGTGGCATGCCACTAACATTTACCACTGGTGACCTGCAGTCGGGCTGCCAGCATGCTCGTCTAGGCAACTGGCGGACTACTAGAGGCACACCAGTGGCATGCCGGTGGCTGCCACCAGAGAGCTATTGCATGTAGGGGTATTGCATCTTGCATGTAGAGGTATTAATTAATCAATTTCAAACAAATTAAAAACCTCTTTTTATCAAAACTTATTAATAAAATTTGATATCCCTACTGAGTGGATAACAACTTAAAAATAAAATAATTTATAATTTACAGGGAAAGATAAAATTTACACAGAATTTAAAATATATATCAAATTGCAAAGTTTCAGCTTTTAGGTATTTATAGTTATTACATCATCAGAAATATTATACTCTTCAAGCAACACAGTTTCAAATAGAGCTTAGTATTTTTATGTTAAAAATTTACCCATATTGTATTTGATACTCTGTCTGTGTGTAATGTATGAATAAAAGATAATGTATCAAATAGGAGGAATCATTAAGACATCTTTCTGTGTTTAGTCTATTTGCGATCATATGAAAACTGTCTTCAACTTGAATGATAAAATAAAATAATCAGTTTTTATAAAATCACCTCAACAGTTTCTTGAATATAAAAAATTGTATTTTCACTTTATCTATTTTCTCCTTTTCCTTTCATTTATGGATGAATATTTTGACAAGGATTTTGGATTTTCACCCCCTCAATCTTCCACAATATCAATATGGCACTTTTCAAACTTAAAATCAAATCTAAGAATTAACAAAGTTATTTATTTTCATTAACTAAAAAAATTGTTTAAGTGTTTTAATAAAAAAGAGAAATTTTATCAATAAATATACTGTATCATCAATCTAATAAAAATCTGCCATGTGACTTTTTTTTTTACAGAATGCAGTTGATATTAAAAAATTAAAGCAAGCTGGAATCTGCACAATTCGAGTAAGTAAAAATAAGCACATTAAATAATAAGCACAAATAAGAGCATATTAAGTACCTTTCGATGTATAAATTTGTAAATGATATTTAACATAAATTATACATTCTTATTAAGTATTTCTCTTTTGTTGCTATCATTTTATCTTCAGGATCAGGTCAGCCTTATTTGAAATTGGAATAATTAATTTTTCTTGGTACATTTCTGATACTTAAAGTGATGATAGCATCAGTAGGAACTAGTAAAATATAAGCAAAAACAGAAACAAATGGTACATGATGATTGTTATGCAAGCTGAAGGAGTGCTAAGATGAAATGAAAGAATGGTGATATATTGAATTAGTGAGGAACCACAATTATCAGATTATCTTAATTATTTCAGTCTTATGTGGTTTTAAAATGTGTATGGTAGCACAGAAGAACAAATGAAACAACAGTACCACTGTTGAGGCAATAGGAAAAGATGACAAGAATTGTAAATATAAAGTTCTTTTGTATTGCCAATGCAGCAAATGCAAGCTGGTGTTTCTCTAAATGTAAGCAAGAGAGGTGGCTTTGTAAGAAGGGCCTGGATTTGATGCATTTGTCAGGTCAGTTGACCAAGGTCATGATGGTAATGTCAAGAAAAGCCTGGAGTGGATTAGTAAAACCACAAATCTGACTTTGTCAATACAGAGGGTGCAAGTGGAATGTCTCTGTGAGCATGGTGTGGGCATTTGGAGGAAGGTGGGGCTATATGGGGCAGATATGTATATCAGGTTGATTGACTGAAGTCACAGTGGTAATGTTGAGTTCTGTACTTTTTTGAGGGGATTTGTTTTGTGGGCCAGATGTGATGCTTGAAACCCCTTTACAGAGGATAACTTTTTATTTTGGGTTTTGCTTTCTTAGCACTCACATCCAACCAACATGTGAATCAGAAAGAGATCTAATTTGCATCAGATTATAACAATGTCATCATCCCTAAAGCTGTTAACTTTTTTTATAGAAGACATACAGCTGTGTTCCATTATTTTATTTTCTTTGAAATCCTATCATGAATAATTCAGGCAAGAATGAAACTTCAGTACCTGGGATGTAGACTTTTAGGCTGATTCAGACTAAAAAAACATCAAAATTAACATCATACTCAACAAATTATCAGAAAAATCTCTCATAAATTATTTTGAAATATAAAACCTGATAATGACTCGACAAAGCATGTAGGAGATCAGTACTTTATTTGTAAACAAGAAAGGCACATAATTTAAAAAAATATATTTCTATACTTATTCACATCATTCTAATGTAATATTCTGAGGATGACACAAATAAAAATTGAATTCAAAATCAAGTATACTTTTTATTTGTTAATTAAATATTGATGACTGACTCAAAAGTTGCTTTATATAAGAAGGCTTTTACTATGTGTTTCATGTAGGATAATGCAAAATATTCTTTTAGTGATAATGTAGTTTTTAATTTAATTTATTTATTTCAGGGCATCCACATGACAACCAAGAAAAGACTTTGTAACATTAAAGGAATATCAGAAGCAAAAATGGAAAAAATCAAAGAAGCTTGCTTAAAAATTTGTGTGAGTTATTTCCCTTAGTTGAATAGAACTGTTGTTTCTAAAATTATATTTTTTATACTAATGTTCATCTTAATACAAGGCCCAAGAGCCACTCGATGTAGAGGGTTACTGTGTGTTGTTGTATGAGTGTAATAAAGGGAAAGAAGAAGTTTATGTGGCAATACTAAAAAGATAACAGTTAAGCCTAGCCTAGAGTTCAAGATTATAGTGATTGGGAAAACATCCTGCTAGGAGTCTGTTCTACAAAGCAGCAGTTCTTAGGAAGAAGCTGTCCAAATGGAACTTACTTCTAACTGTAGAGATACGAAGGGAATGGGGTTGATTCATCCATGTGTACATGGTATGGTGGGTCCCAGTTGTAAAGGTCTGGGGTGGTGCGACTAAAGAATGAAGCTCTTCAGAACACATGCCATAGGAATAGCAATAGAACAGCAAAAGGCTTGCAACATTTTGTCTGTGAGAAAGAGGTTGAAGGGTAGAAAATAATTCATCATCCACAAGACCATGTAGACACTTTTGAAGAAAGGCAAGTGAGAACTGGGTAGCTCCAACCCAGATATGGCAGAAATACTCCATTTTTGATCTGATTTGGCTCTTGTAATTCCCAGAAAGAAAACTCTACAAAAGTCAAAGAACTTGTTAAATTTTTTTATTATATGCGACTTGCATTTCTAAAAACAAAAATACTTCTTTAAGATATATGGATAACTTAAATGCTACTTAAAAGAAAACAATGAAAGAGTTTGATAAAAACATTATCTGAAAGATAATGTTTTTATATGTTTTGTTGATTATTTTATACCTTCGTTATTTGCTCAAAGAATTCAGATTTAATTATTTACATAGTTTACATAAATATAAATACACATGTAGGAAATTCAGTCATTCAGGTTTTATATTAAAAATCCAAACGTCTGAATTCCAAATGATAATAAAATAAAAATAAAGAAAACATGTGAATGTCTGTTAAATAAATCATTTGTATTTACAAACATATATACATGAATTCCAAAAAGTTAAAAAGTATTAAAAATAGTCTTTTGTTGAGTTAAAGTCTTTGAGTAGTTAGTTCACAGAAAAAAATAAACTATGCTTTAGACAAGACTTTAAAATAGTTGGTCCACAGAAAAAAGCTGTGGTTGGAAAAAAATTGTATCATTAACAAAGATTAACTGACCACCCTTGTTGTTGGAGATGAGTTGTTTGAAGTCATCTAACTGGCCAACCATATTGTTGTTGATTCATTTGAAGTTGACAACATATATTTCAACACACACTTTTTTAATAAGAATTTCTTTGAAAAAGTAAGCTCAAGAAAAATAGGGTTTTAGTTTTCTCTGATTGATTCAATATTTCACATGAGGTTAATTTCTAACCAATAGACAATTTGATTTAAATGGTGTGTTATCAGTGGTAACCAAATATGTACCCCTGTCTTCAGCCGTAGACAGCAGTAATCAATTATATCACCCAGTCATTGGTCCTCAAGTTCCTTCAGACCACCATGGTTACCATTTAGTTGACTATTCACTTGTTAGCACGTGACTTGTTTTGTGACAGGTATCGTGTTGGTGGCACAGTTCCACTTGACTGATGTTTGTCTGTTCACGACCATTAACTCCTCTGCCACAATGTGTTTTTGATCTCAGAGGGTGAGAAGATCATTGATTAAGCAAACTTGAAGTGAAGACAGTTCAACAGTTTGAGAGCTACAAAAAAAAACAAGAATCCTTTGGAATAAAGAATTAACTCAGGTTAAAAATGTAACAATGATTTGATTTATATATGATTTGTTGTATACAGTGGTTTTAACTCTTCCCACTTGTTATAATCAAATAACACTGGGATCCCCTTCAGAGTATGCACTTGTTTTAGTAGTAACTTAAATTTCTAAGTTCTTGTCTTCATGTCCGGCACAAGGTCTTTGGTCAGGAGATCTTGGTGAACGATATGGATTCCAGTGTATCTCTCTTCTCTGTTCTTCTCCACTGTCAACTCAACTCTGAGTCCCAAATCTCCAGTTTATATGGAGTCCTGTATCCGATAAGAGTGGGGTTGACAAGGGTCTGTGTTTGGTTGTCTTCTTTCTACCTTAAGTATCAACCTTTTCTAAATTTTCATATATAAAAATACATTTACTCAAGTAGTTTTCCAAATTTGGGGTTGTCCAGCTCCATTTGAGAGTGGTCAGAGGAATCAAGCCCTCCCTTAACTCCTACTCTCACCCCCTATATAGACGTGATGGTACAAGGCAAGGTGCCTGCTTCCAGATGGTGCAGTGAAACAAAAGGGATTTTCAGTCATTAATCTTTCTTTATCAGTTTGTCCCATGCTGTGAATTCTTTCAACCAAACTACTCAAGAATTAGAGAAGAAACATCCATTTCCACTCTTCTAGAGGAGGAATATATGTATGTTATGACGATCACAGTATCAGAGAATAGACAAAATTTATTTATCAATTCTGGCTTTCATTGATTTTCTATACACATTTATAGATCTATAAATCTACTTCAAAAGGGCTCTCTGCTTCTCATTGTCTCATGGCCTTATATCGTGATTGTGAAAGCTTTCTGATTGGTTGGCCAGAACTATCTATTTTTAGAGATAGAAATGTGAAATTAGAAATGTGAAAGTTTGGTCTCCTTGTTACTGTTTATTTCTTTTCTTACATCCTGGTTGTGAAAGCTTTCTGATAGGTTGGTTACAATATGGCATTGTAGCCTGGAGATTTTGATTATCCATCTACTTTTAGAGTCAGTGAAATTTTGGGCTTCTTATTTATTTTTATTTATTTCTCTATCACTACAGATTTACTCTGTTTTATTTCTGTGTTGCAGATGGTTAGGAAAAATTTGGCCTGTATAAATATCAGAAGGATTTTAATTGAAAATTTATTCCTCCTTTCTGCCATGCAACATAAATGATGTGAGGAAAACAATGCTGAAGGTTAACAATATTTATTTACAGAAACAAAATGCAACAATGAACTTATGTAAATTCATTCACAGTGGGTGTGAATGCAGTGTCAAAAGATAGATGTAGAGATAGTTCTTGTTTTACTTAGTTGCATGATGATTTGTCTTCAGTGGGTCAAATTTTTCATAGTTCATACTTATGTTAGAAATCATGCTCAGATTTAATTTTTTTTCTTGTTTTGAGTGTGATTAATTTGTGAGTTGTATGAAGTTGTGCAGTAATTCATATGTATTCTTCAATTATCTGTGAGATAATCTCTTGGTCTGATCATAAAGATGGCAACAGCATCATGCATCTGTCTGTGTGTTTGTGCTTCTGTGTCTCTCTCCACATTTTCATTGTCTGGGCCTGTTCCTTAAATAACCATGAGTTTGCTCCCAGACAAGATTTTGGATTTAAGTGGGAAGGTATTTCATTGGTTGTTATGGACCAATGAGGATGTTTAAAGATATTGGTATCTGTTGTTATGCAGGTGTTGTGTAGGTGTTTGTGTGTATAGGTGGGGCACAGCAGCTGTTTCTTTTTTATCACAACACTTTGGATCCAAAAGCACTTTAACCACAAGAGCAAATAACACTTCTATGGATGAGTTAGTTAAAAAAGTTACAAGGCAGAGACTAACAAAATAAGGTGTTTAAGATGACATCCATGAAAAATGAGCTTCCCAGGTGTGGGATGCAAGTTCAAATCTTGTCAGATGCTACTTCTCTATTTTCCAAGTTCACTTTTTTGCTTTAGCAGTTAGTGTTTACCAACACAGAGTTTTGTGATAAATAATGATGAGATGATAATAAAAACAATTAAAAAATACATACATATTAAATTCAAATAACTTGTTCTTGCCAAATTAATGTAATTCCTGCATTTTTATTTTTAAGGATAATGGGTTCTTTACTGCTCTTCAATATGCAGAGAAGCGTAAGCAGATTTTTCATATTTCTACTGGAAGCCAAGAACTTGAGTAAGTGTTTAAAATTAAAATTTTACTCTGTTAGATGTGTTTTTTTTAATTTGGAGCCATGTAATGTAATGTAGCACTGATAATTAGTAGTAGTCATATTTATAATAAGAAATAAACTTTGAACATTGTGGTAATATTTAAAACTACAATTTTATTTACATTTTTACAACAAAGATTTTATATGGAAAGATGTAAGTTAATTTCCTACTGATGCATCTATTCATCTAAAATTAGTCAGTTATGTGCCATGTGTGATACATGCTTAGGTGATCATGTATCTTTCAATACATGACTGACCAGGCGGATTTTTTCCTGCAGTAGGTTGCCATTTCTTTCTGCGGTAGACCAGTTGCCATCCAAGGCTATAGAACCTGGTCTGTCCTGCTATTTACTCATAGCTGGGAGGAGGAGAAGAGGAAGATTCATACTTTTCCCAAGGGTATTAGCATGAATGTAATGGATTCGACTAGAATTCAAACTCAGCTCTCCAATTCCTCAATCCAAGCTGCTATCCATTATTCCACCATGCCTCCCCCCATCTGAAATAGTTTTATTTAAAATGTTCTTAGAAATGGAGTTGTGTTTGATAGAAAGTTAATACATTTCAGAAAATGTCATTATTCACAGTTTGTGGGAGGAAAAAAGTACAAGCATATTGAGTTAGAAAAGTTGTCATATAGTTTCAAATTGCTGGGGATTTTAAAAAAAACCCTTGCCACTTTGATTATCACTTTATAAAAAGAGATTGCTTTACCATAGATTCATGTAGATGAGTTGGCATTTTTGAGTTGAGCAACTGATGATCTGTCTCAGTCTTCTATTTATCTGCTTTTAGGAGATACAAAGTTAAAGGCATTTGAACTTACTCAAACTAATTGTTATCAGTTTCAAATTCTCTTTATATACTTCCTGATCTATTTATGGTAGAGTAGTAGATAGCAGCTCAGATTGAGGAATTGGTAGAGCAGAATTCAAATTCCAATCGAATCCATTGCATTCACTTATTATACCTTGGGAAAGGTATGAATCCTCCTCTTATTCTCCTCCCAGCTATGGGTAAATAGCAGGACAGACTGGGTTTGGGAGCCTTGGGTGGCAACTGGTCTACTGCAGAAAGAAATGACAACCTGCTGCAGGAAAAAATCTGCCTCGTCAGTCATGTATCGAAAGATATATGATCACCTAAGCGTGTATCACACATGGCACATAACTGACTGATCTATTTATTACTATATTCACAAATTTCTAATGTTATTTTAGATTTTATTTTTGTTGGCTTTCTCCTAGAATCTACCATTTTGACATATAGATGTTGATCCTCTTTTTGTAGAGTTTTTTTTAGACATGTCTCTGAAATCTTTACATCTAGCTATTTTAATTATTAAATTTTGAATATTACATTAGTAAATCTCCATTTTCTTTATTAAGTTTTTATGAGTACACAGGCACAGGAATATAATACACATTGTTTAAAAAAAATGATGCATCTATTTTAAATATGGGAATTCACTGAAAATAACATTTGAAGTAATACAACTTCCAGATTAAAAATAAATCCATTAACTCTTTAGAAATACTGTTAGTGTTTGGTGTTGACCTCAGTGTTCATTTTTATATTTAAATACACTATCTCTGCTATTGAGCACTTTTACCCATAAATATAGCACACCTGAAAACTATATTTTTATCATATATATATATATATCTAAATGCAATTCTTGAATAATAATTGAACTCTATGAAAAGAAAATGAATGCAAGAAAATGGATAAAAACTGACTTTGCTTCATTTAAATGCTTTCATTTTTTTATACTAATCATTAGCCATGAACAAATTCCATAGATATTTATTTACTTATATGAGACTAATTTTTTAAAAAAAAATGAAATTAAATAATATATTTACATATTAGTATCATTTAATATAGTGATTTTTTTCATTATTATAATAACACAATTCTTGAATGGAGCCAAACATTTTATAACAGTAGAATTTTACAAGTTTATAATTTTATATTTTTCTTATTTTTCAAATTTTGTTGTTATTGTAATAAGATGCTTGCTTATAGTGATGGCAAGCATATCTCATGTTACCATAAGAATGTGTGTTCTCATTATTCAGTAATAGTGAAACCAATTTGATAATTATTATCTAATAGTTGGTTGTATTGTTACAGAGAAACAAACAATATATAATGAAAACCCATTACCATTGCTTCAAATATGAGAAACTTCGTTTCAGCAAATTGCTTGGAGGTGGTATGGAAAGCATGGCCATTACAGAAGCATTTGGGGAATTTCGTACAGGTAAAACACAGCTCTCTCATACATTATGTGGTGAGTATATATCAACTCGGATTTTCATCTGCCGGTTAAATACTTATATTCATAGATATTAATTTTATCAGATACTGACTGACTCTTAATTGAATCAATTTTCTATTTAAATATTTTGAAGTATATCTAACAATTAAATGAAGAATATAATCATATTTTAGATGAAGTGAATTTTTAGGGACACCACCTTTTGTATATGACCTAATTTATTCTTTTAGCAACAGTTACAAGATATTTCCATGCAAGTATTCTGCACCAATTACACAGTCACTAACACAATTTTTCTTATTCACAAGATTTGAGATTATATAAAATCATAAAGTTGGTCAACATTGTAATTAATATTTTTTATTTACTGTGACTTTGAAAACATCTATTAAAAGGTTCAGTTTGAAATTTCAAATAGTTTGCCAAATGAAACAGATACCTGAAATCTGCACGGTACAATGGCTGAAATGCTATCACTATAATAATCAGGATAATGATACTAGTCTCAATAGCTCAGTGTATAATAATAATTCATTGTCTGACAAACTTAGAAATTGTCAGATTAGAACAAATATTAGGAACAACAAAGATGATTAGAAAAACTTAAAAAGAAACTGGTATTAATATTCAACCATTTAATAGTCTTCTACAAATGCAAAAATCTTAAGTTAGTTTCATCTGGCTTAAATATCAAAATATCTGTCAATTCCAATAGAATATGAGTAATTACAAAAATAACAAGGTACATACTTTTTAGGGACAGAATCCATTATTACCATTGAATGAAACAGGGCTTATGTCCACATCATATTGAAACACTGATTCCTATACAATCACCGAAGTTAAGCAATGTTGAGCCTGTGCGAGTGGTGTAATGGATAATGGTTCTAATTCCTGTTGGTTTTGTTATATTCACTTAATTGAAAATACCCTTGGGAAAGGTATGAATCCACTTCTTCTCCCCAGCTATGAGTTAATTAGTAATACTTGTATCATTAAACAGTTATCTCTAAAAAAAAAAAAAAAAATTCTTATAATCTAAAAATATTTTCTGGCTTTAAATAACCTACAAAGGTCTGATAAGCTGTAGAAAACAAATCAATCAATCAGTAATTACAGGATGAACTCTCCAACCAGATAAAATTTTTCTATAATCAAATAAGATTGAACTTGAATAGATATAGAAACCCAAAAGGTTTTTAATGACCACTGTTTGAGACACAAACTTTAACATCAACCTGTGTAAGCAGTTATTAAACTCAACAAAGACAAGTTAAGTATCTCTGGGGAAACAGTGCTAAACAAAGCTATCAACTTCACAACATCCATAAAAACAAGTTTCATACATATATGTACCTTAACCTTTAACACTCTGAATTATTAATAGTACTTCCCTTTCTACTGCATTGTCTTTCAAGGCCTTTCAGTTGCAGTATCCTTATTGCTAATTTCACTCAAAGTTGTTTTCTCTTGCCATAGCAGGATATGACAATACAGCTATGAAATTCAAACACACTATTGTTAAGGGATCAGAGTCATCTTCAGTAAATGAAGTCACATACAGAGTGATAAAGGTTAATTGAGAAGGCATCCTTAAAATCTTTAAGACACAGATAAACTGAAATGGAAAGTGAGAGTTACTAAAGAAGTCAGGTCAAAAAATTGTTAGAGAGAGAGAGAGAGAGGGTGAATGTCAGAGAGAGAGAAAGAAAGACAGATAGATAGATAGATGCTTCACTGTAGGTGTAAAGTGTATTGATGGTTAGGGGGTTGGCTGTGTACTAACATAAGTATGAAGTTTAAAAAAAAAAAAAAAAACACTTTAAAAAAGAGAAAAGAACAATATTTTTAAAACTTGGATTTTAATGTCAATGTCCAAAAGTTAGCTTGATAGGTGTTTTTCAACATTAACTATTGTCATTAAAATTGGCAAAGTGAAATAAAACATTGATATTTTTTCATTTACAGTTCCTTAGACCAAAATACCTTTATAAATATCTTGATAATACTTTAATACAAATGAGATTGAATACAAGGTCTGATCAAAAAGTATCACTGGTGCTATAAAAAGAAAAATATAACACATTGATCAATTCAGCAGTTAATCACCTTTATCCACTGTTGCTTCCATTGACAAGATTCCTGGAACTCCTTTTATAGGATAGTGAGTGGCTGCCTTATTATATTCTCTTGGATTGCCTAGATGTCTTGAAAACTTGTTCCTTTCAAGTGGGATTTGAATTTTTGGAAAAAGGGAAAAGTTGCAAGGAGTAAGACCTGGGGAATATGGTGGATGCAAACCTGAGAAATGTTGTCTTGGCCAAAAACTGCTGCACAAACCAAGGTCATTGATGGAAGCTCTGTGGTGTGTTGAGCTGACCACACTCTACACACTTTCCTTTCATGAACTACTATAAACAACAGAAATGGGCGAGGATGTTATAACTTAGTGTGCATGCATGACAGAGTTTAAGGTCACTCTGTACCAAGCAGCTCCACCCTGTGTACTTTAGCTCCATTACCATAGCAACTGTCTCAATATGTTTTGAGTAACCCTGATATTTTTTGTAATAACAGAATTACACATCCCATGTTGAAAGTTAAGGGTGTATAAAATTAGAATTGAAGACAGTTGAGCAAAATTTTTGATAATTTAAAAATAACTTAAATTCAATTTTCAGTAAAGATAAAACTGCCAAAAGCTAATTAAAATAAAGGATAATCATACTTTTAATCAAATTTTAAAATATATTTTAATCTGTGTTTTTTTAATGTCTAGTTACAGCACAATTGCCAGGACCTAATGGCTACACTGGAGGAAAAGTAGTATTTATTGATACAGAAAACACATTGTATCCTTTTTCTACAATTTAAATTCTATATCCAATTTGACCAAAAATTCTTTTCATTCTCTGCTTACAAAATTTATCTCTTTAACTTTACATTTAGCCGACCAGACCGTCTCAGAGACATTGCTGACCGATTCAACTTGGATCAGGATGCAGTACTGGATAATGTATTATATGCAAGGGCTTACACAAGTAGGTTGGGTTTGTTCAGTGGATTACATCATACTCACTACACAATAGTAATGGCCTTTTGAAATAGCTAGAAATTACTCCACAGTAAATAATTATAAGTTATTAATTATAAGTAACTCATTAAAATTGGTCTGAAAGCATAGACCTCTTGAAAATGTTCATTTTAATCTTTTATCAATCAATATGAACAATTTTTATTGTGAGGAGAGAGAAAGAGATGAATAGATCACTTGCTTGTGACTACTGAATTGTGTTACTACTGAATAAATCCATAGAAAGTCACTTAATATTTCTTAAGTTTCCATCTTAGATTTTGATGAAACATCATGTGATACCTTTACTGGAGACAAATCATTCCTGAAAATTTCAGTTTGATTGAAGAAATGGTTAAAAAATTGACAGATTTCAATTTGCTTAAATTTCTTTGTCTTTTGAGGATTACGGCCACCACCAAATTTAAGGAAGGTCAAGCTTGGGTGACCGCTTGGGAATACCAGGTGCTGTAAGTTTGAATGTGCAGGTAGTGCAATGGATATTTACTTGGAATTGTTAATCAGAGAGCCGAGTTCCAATTCCTATTGGGTTCATTATATTTACTTACACACAAATACCCTTGAATCCACCTCTTTCACCCAAGCTATGGGTTAAGTAAGAGTTGTATCATTAAATCATTATTAAAAAAAAAAAATTCTTAGAATCTAAAAATATTTTCTGGCTTTAAATAACTCACAAAAGGTCGATAAACCATAGAAAATGAATCAATTAAACTTTACCCTTTGATTTCCATATCCCCTCTCCACATTTTTGTTTGAGTCAAGAGACACACCAGAGACTATCATTTAAGATAGTTTTATCAATATCCATATTATTCATTTTCAAGATTATTTTTCTTTAGAATTATGTATTAGTATCATTTTCACGGTTATTTTTCTTTAGAAATCTTGTTAAACAATTTGTGCATAATTCCTGTCCTAGTTCCATTTTCAGTTGATCAGTAATATCAGACAATTGTAAAGGAAATTTGTAATATTTCTCTTATGAGAATTGAATGGATCACAAAACAAAAGTGTTTTTATTACTTCAAATGTTATTCTTAGTGGATACCTGTATTTGAGTAGATGCTGTTTTTAAAACTGTGTTTATTTCATCTACTGGCTTGAATACTCAAGAACTTAAATGAAAGTGTGCCCTTCGACAGGAATCGAACTTGCATTTCTCTTTGCAGGAGAAACAACCATCTGATCTGGCATGCATTTATTACTCAATTATGGAGAGCTTCACAGTCAGGTAAAGTTCTATTTGCCTTAAAGCACATTCACTCATTTGATTTAAGGTAAATAGAATCTTACTTGAGTGGTGAAGCTATCTGTAGCGGAGTAATCAGATGGCGGTTTCTCTGGCAGAGAGATGCAAGTTTGAATCCGGAAAAAAAAAAAAAAAAAAAAATCACTTGCATCAAAGCATTTCTTCAAGGAGTAAGTTCCTCCATCGATATTAAGATATAACTTCTACAATTCTCATATATTTTTTAACACAAGTAGAGAGTTGCACTTCAGTTGTTAAAAAAAAATCCTAATTCAGAACAGTTAGTGAGTTACATTTAAATGTTTTTCACTCTCAGAATGAAGTCATCCACTAATAAATCCTTTTTCTCTCTAAAACTTGTAATTTTTATTACTCTTTTTCTACTAAGATTTCCCTAATTTAGTAATTTATTCACAACCAAGATGACAACAATAGTTTGAAATAATACAAGAATATCAACAATTACTCATCTCAGAAATGAAATACCAAATTATGAAAAGCAGTACAAATCTGTCAATTGTCTGTCAGTTTTCATGATTTCAAAGAGAATATGAAAGTTTTTTTTTTACTGTAATGGTTTTAGGTTTTGACCCAAAATATTTAATACTTTTAAACTTTATTTTACACCAGGCAATATAGGAAATGAAAATTCAGAATTTTTATTTTGATACACTTAGTTTAGTTTTGACTAACAGTCAAAAGTCAACAACCTCGCCTAAAAAAACACTTTCTTGCCATTTTGAAGGACCCATAGCTTCCAAACCACATAGAATGTAAATAAATAGTAAAAGATGGTTTACTTCAGGGATAAAACAATATGTTTATATTTCAGTTTGATATTTTAAATACCAGTCTTGATAAAATGCTTGTGATAAATTTCAATTCATCATAACTTCTGAACCATTGCCTTGTGCTATATCTAAATTATGCTTAGAAAATAACCATAACTTCTGAACTGTTTGTTCAGTCAAGGTGAAATTTTCAAAACTAATTTTTCTCTAGAAAGGCTGTTGCTGAAATTTTATCAAAATCATCATGTGAGTTGATTATGGAATGATCTTGTTGCTTGTTATTTTACTCTTGTGGACCAGTCTTTCAGCTATGCTATATTGACTGTTCAAGTATTTATAATTGATCCTACCCCTTCTATTAATTACTTTCAAACTCTTCAAAATTCAATACTACCAGTAAGAATTAATCTGTTTTCTTTTACTTCAATTCCATTACAAAAAGGACAAGCATTTCCTTAAATTAGTAGTGGTGTACTTGTTTCAAATATATTGTTACAAGTAGTTAAAAAAAATTCAAATAATTTTCCATCATGCTTGATAAATAATTTTTAATTCTTAACTTGTAGGTGAACATCAATATGAGCTTCTGGATTTTGTTGCAGCCAAATTTTATGATGAGCAAGGAATATTTAAATTACTAGTAAGTTAACTTAATTGTTTAACAGAAGTTATTTATATAACAAAATGAAATAAAGTTTTCAAGATTTCACATCTTTAAGTTTAAATATTTATAAACTAGCCTGAGTGATTAAAATAAAATACATACAAACATTATGCATGTGCACACAATCTACACTACTAAAATTTGCTAATCTTAAAATAAATGTTAGAGTAAAGATATTTCTTTACCAAAACATTAATGCTATCTGTAGAAAAGATAATTTTGAGCTTATTTTCAATTGTAACAACAGGTTGTTGACTCAGTGATGGCCCTATTCAGGGTGGATTTTTGTGGAAGGGGAGAATTGGCAGACAGACAGCAGAAACTTGCCCAATTATTGTCCAGACTACAGAAGATTGCTGAAGGTAAATCTCACAACTTATGTTAGATAGATACATAAATAAATAGTCAATGTCCAATGGTTGTCATCATAAATTAACAGAATTTTTATACCTCAACATAGCTCTTTCTGTGAAGGAAGAATCCACTACTGTTACTTTCAAAGAGTATTAATACCACAGTATCAATTTTTTTTTTATTCTTTAAAAATAAAGACTAAGTAGTTATGTAAATTTCCTTTACAATAGTTTAAAGTATCATCCATTTGATAGATGAACATTGGGAAAAATTATGTAAACATTAGCTCAATTTTCAAGCTTTACAAGTCATATTGAACTTTTTGGATGGTTTAATTATCAACTCAGGTCACTTTTGGGCTTAACAATTCCTACTTAAAAAGAGAAAAAACAAACTGAGGCAAATGTTAGTTTGTATTCACATATTTAAGATTTTAAACCAATTGGCAAAAATCAAAAGAACAATCAGTGAAGATAAAGTTAAAAATTTAAGCATATGAAATAAAATCAAGGTAATTGATTCACTTAAAAATGAAACTTCGTTACAAGTCATTCTAGTTGTTAAAATTAGATAAATACCTCTACAGCAGTGTAGTATGTAGCATGGTAATTCCCATGGTATGGTGGACGAGGATAGCAGGTGAAGCAGAATGATTGAAAGATAATCAAAGATTTAGAAATAGTTTTAAAAAATTGATATGCCAAAAACAAATATGATTTAAAAATTTAAAATATTATTACGGATTACTTGTAATTGCATGCACGAGTCCTAGTATAAATAGTTATAAATAATTATTGACCGATCTTATTGTGATATTTTTGCATTATATCAAGTACTAGCAGTAGAGCCCGGCGTTGCCCGGGGATGTAACAGTAAGAGATAGATCAAGTATCGACCATCATAAAGACTGAAAAATAAAATTGACAAAGATTATTGTTTAAGGTTAACGGACACGCATGTCTTAATTAGTTTTATTTTTTATTTACGAATTGGTCAAACCCAAACAAAAACATTGTTTTCAATTAAGTCTATCGATTGAATAGAATTTTATTATAAACAATTGTCTTGTAAATGGAATTTTTAAAGCATTTTGAATGTAAAAATAAAGAAAAAAAGTGTGCAAGACAATAAGAAACACTTCCTGCAAAAAAAAAAAAAAAAAAAAAGAAAGAAGTGAAGTTTTGTTGAAATCAGTTGAAAAATGTAGGAAATCCAATCCCATATATAAACGAACACACACAACCAACCTGGGTTTTATAATAAGTAAAACTCGATATGAGTTGTCCCCCTTCCATTATTGCCTCTTAATCGTGTTTTCAAATTGCTTTCGTGCAAAAACAATTGTGTTTTTCCAATTTTTGGCGCTGTCAGAACCACCGCAAGGTAATTTTACATAGTCCTGTGAAGTTTTGTTGAAATCTGTTGAAAAATGTAGGAATCCGATCCAATATATAAACGTACAGACACACACAATCTGCGTTTTATAATAAGTAAGATTAAGAATTGCAAATTGGAGTAGAGTTATCAATGTTCTGACTTCGAATCTACGGTTATCTCCCTTTAATCATCTATTTTTTTTTTTTTTAAATTTTGAAATGTACTTTTTGTCATATAAAATTTGGTGAGGCAGGAGCAAATTTTCATTCTGAAAATGTAGCCCAAAGAAAAAAAAACGTTTGGGAATCACTGTTCTACAGGATATGGAATAGTTTTAATTTTTTTATTTTATCTGGAAAATATCTTGATTAGAATCACCTAAACAATTCCTCTATCATTGGACATTAAAAAAAAAAAAAAAAAAATTTAGCTCATTTTATTGTTACTGGATGCAAATTATTTGTTAAAGCAGGATATAAAATAAATATTTTGCAATGCATATTTGAAATTATTTATTAAGTATAGAAATTTTATGAAAAATGAAAATTTTTTTCAGATTTTCCATTTCAAAATTTTTGTTCAAGAATTACACAACTTTTGACAGGATTATATTCAGTTGAGCACCTATGATAGAGAAAATTCAATCCTCACTATATATCATTAGTGATTTTACTTTTTTTTTTTTTTGCTCAGAATTAAGTGGTTAATGCACAAAAGATAACAGTTAACCAGAGACTTTAAGAAGTTAAGATTTTAGTGATTGGGAAAACATCCTGCCATAAGCCTGTTCCACAAAGCAGTTCTTGGGAAGCGGTTACTAATGGAATAGAAAAGAAATGGGGATAATTCACTCTTGTGTATGTAGCATGGCAATTCCCAGTTGCAAAGGTCAGAGTTGGTGGGACTAAAGAATTTAGCTCAACAGAACACATGCCAAGGAAACAGTGATGAGCAACAAGAGGCTCCCATTTCGTCTGTGGGAAAGGGGTTGTAAAGTGGAAAATAATTCACTCACAAGTGACTTGAATATCAAAACAAGTAATAAAGAATGGATAGCCCCAGCCTAGATATGGCAGCAATACTCCATTTTTGGTCTGATCTAGCTCATGTAAAGTGAGTATAGCAGAGGAGTCAGATATTTACTGGTGCACTACAATGAACCAACCATTTCTCTAGCATCTTTAGCAATAGATCCTGTAAGTTCCACTTGAGGTCTGGGGAGAGTTCGAGTCTCAATAGACATTCAAGGCAAGAAGCCCCCTTGAGAGAATACCGATCCATCATGATAGGTGAAAGTTCAGAGTCTGCTTGGTAATGGTGGAACGTTACTAGCTTGGTTTGGGTGGTATCAAATTTTACAAGCCAGAAGAGCTGCTAGGTACTGGTCACCCAGATTTTTAAAGGTGCACCTATAAACTGTTGTATTATCTGCATAGATACTTCCTAAGGACTGGAGTATGCTCTTAGACAAATCATTAATATATAGCAGAAAGAGGGTAGGGGTGATGAGAAAACTCTGAGGGACACTGGCATTGATCTTATGGGCTTCCAATGACTAGCCATTAACAACTTTCAGGGACCTAGCTATTAGGAAGGACTTGATGATTGAGAAAGCCCTGCCACAGATTTCACAGCTGGAGAGTATGTAATAGCTCTCAATACCACACCTTGTCAAAGCTTTTTGATATGTCTAGAGATGGTCTTTATGATGAATTTATTGTTGGCCATTTTCAGGTCTCTATAAAAATACATCAGACACACCTAAGCTGTTTATATTTTGTAATTTACAGTAAACATTAACAATTGCCACCAAGTTTCAAATCTGTGCATGTTTTATTGGTGCTATGAATGTCAGGAGTTCATTGAAAGCTTATTTAGCAAAATGCAAATAATACAGTGAAAAATTTCAAGATACTCTGATTTTAAAACTATTAAAAGATAGAGATCTAATATTTGGGATTAATCAATAAATAAACCTGCTGAAAGTGATATATCCAAATTGATTGTTTTCCAGAATACAATGTAGCAGTTTTTATAACTAATCAGATGACAGCTGACCCAGGAGCCAATATGATGTGAGTAGTCTTCTCCCTAATTAATTGAACATTCCTTGGAATAAAGTTTTAATCAAAAGTGATATAAACTAAATGAAAATTTTTATGATTAGGCTTATATTATGATTACTGCAATTATTAAAATAGTAAAAACACAATGAAGAGTTTGCATAAATTAATCTGATAAGGGAAATTATAATTTTTTTTTTTTTTTTTTACAAAGACAAGATTCCCCACTCACTTTAGGCAATCATCTTCCAGGACAGCACTTGTTCATGGAGGTTTCATAATTTGCCATTACATCTAATATTGACACATTTAACCAGTTTTACTACCTTCTTTATGATGACAAGTATATATAAAAAAAAAACTTAATAGCTTAACTGAATAGTTCTAATGTTGAGTGATGTTGGATATGATAGCATAATTATTAATTGTGATAATTTATTTCAACTTAATTTACAGAAACAGTAGTCAAGACAGAAATGTCAAGGAAGTTTAAGTTTAAGGAGGAATGGAATGACGATCCAGAGTTCAAGACTTGGATAAGATATGTGGCTAGTGATGTTCACCATGCATATTGTAAGATATGACAAAAATCATTCGATATTAGCAACATGGACTTGTCTGCCATTAAATGCCATGCTAAAAGACAGGAACTGCGAATAAATGACTGATTTCAGCATACCGGATTTGTTTTGGTTTGGCAACCTATTTCAGAGAGGAACTTCAAATTGTTATGTCATTTCATTTGACAAATGCCTGAAGAAGGTTACTCGGATTGAGCAAATGGCCTTAATTTTTCGGTACTGGAGTGAGAGTGAAGAGAAGGTAGTAGTAAATTACCTGGACTTATGGGACATACCCAAGCAGAGATGCTTGTTGAGAGAATTCTTCATTCTCTATCTCCACTTGATCCAAACAAGCTCCTACAAATATCTATGGATGTCTCATGAGTAAACTGGAAGTTTGAAATTATACGAGGACAGAAGCAAGGAGGACCTGAATGCTTGAAGATTAGTAAACCTTGGGAACTGTGGTCTCCATACAGTTCATGGGAGTTTCCAACAGGATGAGGAGAAGATGCAAGATTGATGAAAGCCTAAGAGGCCCCTGGCAGATTTTTCACGATACACCAGCTAGGCAGAATGATTTCATTGAAATCACAAAAATCTCTGTGTACAGGCAGGTTGAAACATTTGCCAGTGGCAAAGTGGGCCATTGAGATATGGCCATCTATGCAGAAATAGGAGTTCATCAGGTACTATTTTTCAACCTAAAACAAAGCATTTAAGTAAAAAGTTGCTCTAATGTAATGGTCAACATCAATTAGTTTCAAATAAGTTATTCCCCTAAAAGTAATGTCTACCAGCTCTTGTCTATTTTTCAATTTTTGTCCTACCATTTATATCTTTTATGAAGCATTAGAAAAAAAGGTTATCTATTAAAAATGAAATGAAAAATTTGCTGTCAAGAAGCAAAAAAAAAAAAAAAAAAAAAAACTGGCAAATATTGATAAGCCATTTAAATATTTTTATAATTGAGTTAAATTATTTTGTTGGGCTTTTGTCTGTTTTTCAACTTTTGTGGTTCTATTTTAAGAATATTTTTTAGCAGAAATATCTTCAGTAGATAATCCCTATATTAGAGTTCAATAAAATAAATTTGACAACTTGCAGGTCTTGTTTTTAAGTAAAACTAGTTTCTACTTAGATTCGTTTTTACTTAAAGTACATTAACACCATAAGCACAAAGTTAAACAAATATTAGCCAAATAAGTTGAAAACAAAAGTAAACATTTTGAAGTGAACATTTTTTTTTCTTTGGTACTTACCTTGTAATAGCAAAATTTTAAATGAAAATGTTAAGTTTCATACTGGCATTTACAATTAATTATATTAATATTCTCAGTCAAAATTAACTATTTTATTCCTCAAGTGAGCCGTTTTATGAAATAACAAAAAATAGTAAATGTACAACAATTTTTATTCATATTCTTCAGACATGGGTTTTGGTTAGCATAAAAAATTGAAACTGAAATAAGAAATCCTAGTGACCCTGATATTTGAAACACGTTTATATTTAAATACATTTAAAAAATATCCAGTTTTGAATGTAAAATTTCAAACCAAAGTTATGTTTAAAATAATCCAGAATATATTTGTTAACTGTAACAACGGTAATTTTGTGATTCGAGAGAGAGAGTTTCTGAGATAATTTAAATTTTCTTGGACAAAATACAAAAATTTTCCAGGATTTAAAAAACACCCTTTTCCAGGGTTTTCAGTCCTGGAAAATTTACATTTTATTTTAAAGGATGTGTAGGAGCCCTGAAAGAGTTTCTGATAATGTTTAACCTTTGTAGCAAAAAAAAAGTCAAAGGGATGGTTATTCCCTTGACACCACTATTACTCTATATACTTTTGACTCCCTTGGCAATGTTTTTTTTTTTTTAAAAAGCAATGATTAGAATTTTAATAAAACCCTGACATGAAAGTGGATTTATACATTTTCTTTATTCTTGAAAATTGACATAATTAATATATAAGATATTAAACACTATTAGATTGAGGGAAAAAAAAACCCCCAAAAAACCTGTTTTCATAGTTTTTTATAAAATGGTAAATAATAAATATTGCATTGTAGTTGGTTTACAAATTTTGCAATTTTTGAAAAGATTTTAACTTTTTTCTTTATAAAAGTAAATAATAAATATCACATTGTATTGGGTTCACATATTTTTAATCTTGCAAATAAACATTGCCAAAAGAATCAAAAATGCATACACTACTCATGATGTCAAGGGACTAACTGTCCTTTTAACAAAAATTGCAGTTTCTTAAACTAATGTAAATTAGTTACTACTTATAAAAAATGTCTTATATTTACAAAGAATCTATCATGAAATGTTTTATACATATTTTAACCATTAATCCATTGACTGTTAGGTCATCTCTAAGGAATTTGTTTACTTATCCATCCAACAATGCTTAAATTTCAAATGAGCGAAAAAATAATAAAGGTTTCTACCCATAGGTTCCAAGCAGACCCCAAAAAGCCAATTGGTGGAAATATTTTGGCTCATGCTTCAACAGTTCGGATCTATTTACGAAAAGGAAGAGGAGAAACCCGAATTGCCAAAATCTATGACAGGTTAAGTTTCAAATACATATTGAAAAATAGATTAATTTAAGTTTCCTTTACTTGATTACTGATGAATTTACCACAATGGTCAGAATTATTAAATTTTGAAAATTTGCCTTAATTGAATAACCTTTTCTTTGTTAGTATGTATTAAATTAAACTATGAATAACTTCCCGATTAGTATTTTAAAAACATTTTTATTTTTTAAACCTTCCCTTGGATGAAATAAAATTCCTTTGAACTTTTTCACTTATTGTTCAAAATGCCATTGAAAAACTCATACATTTGCACTTGAGCAAGTGTAAATTATATTTAATAACTAATCACAAATGAAAGTAGTTATCTTAGTGATCATACCCTTTTCTGATAAAAAAAGAAAACAGCGTGTTTAAGTACAGTTAACAAATTTTTTTTTTTTTTTAAATTCATAATTTCAAGCAAACAGGATACTATAAATTTTATAACTGCAAATGGTAGAATGAAAGATCATTTTTGGTAATCCATTAATTATCCAAGTATTCAATATATCAAGACTAAAGGAAAACTTGCATATCATTTAATACCAGTTTGTAGTACTGTGTAGGTTATATTTACTAAATGCATTGTTATAAAAAAAAGTTGCTGCTTGTAAATATGTAAGTCTATCACACTTTTTAAAGCATAAATTCTTATTACAAACTAGATAGAAAAAATGTTAAATCTTATTTTTTTTACCTTTTTCTTTTAGCCCAGACCTACCAGAAAGTGAAGCAACATTTGCCATTACAACTGGTGGAATAAACGATGCCAAAGAATGAAAAATGTATAAAGGCAATTTAATTTAATATCATTTAAATTAATATTTTGCAAAGATGAAACTGGTTAAAAATATCCTATTTGAAGGCACCATGTGCAATGTTTGTGAATTTGTAAATAACTTGACTTTAGAAAAATCTTCATGTAAAAACATACAAAAATGCATCTTTATCTGAAAGTTGATAAAAAATAAAATTTTATTCTAATTTAAAAAAAAAAACAGATTTTGTAGTTTTAAATTGAAGTTTTAAGCACTGAAAAAATTAAATTCCATAAAAAGCTATTTTTCCAGTCTTTATATTGCTGTAATTGTGATCTGAAACAAAATACCATTTGTGAGAGGTTAAAAATAAATAAAAACAGTTTTAATATCAAAATTATAAGTTTATTTCAGCAATTTGAGAATTTATGAAAGATGATATAATCAAAATGGAAAATATTTACACATTAATGAAGTTTCAAGTGCTGCCTTTAACATAAGATGAACTATCTTTAAGAATAAAACATCATTTTTTCATTAGTTTCCACAGTTATAATGTAAAGAGGGACAGTTTATTCTTTATAGTTGGAGCAAAATGGAATTTTTAAGATACAAAAAACAAAAAAAAAAAAACCCAAAAAACTTTATAATATTAATTAGAAATAAAAAATAATTTACTATCTTTTGAAACAATATTAATTTTACAAGATCTTTAGCTTAAACTTAGGAAATGAGTTTTAAATACTTAGATTAGTTTTATATATATATATATATATATATATATATATATATATATATATAGAAAGATGCTGGTCATTGGAAAAGGGGGCACTTGTGGGAGGATTAACTTATGAGAAAATCATTGCATGAATACAAACAGCTTATTGGTATCAAAATGCCAATTTGTGACAACTGATAGTGCAGTAGATATTGCTGTACATTTCAAAGAAATGCTTAGCAAAAAAATCAACATCCATTAAGAGTTGCCAATCAAATAGGAAGGTTTCTTCTGTAGATCCAGTTGAGCTGCTGCAATGAAAGGCAATAACTAGGCACACACAACTAAAATTCTCAAGACTGGCATTTTAGTAACAGACTCAAAGCAATAGTAGAAAAAAGAAAAGAAAAAAAAAAAAAAAAAAAAAAAAAAAAAAATGGCAGGACAACAGTGATATACACAACCAATGAGTTTGAATCTAACTGGAATACTCTATGACATTTTATATAATTTTTGAAATAGTTCTGAAAATTGATTCATGAAAAATAATTTACTGATATTTACAATTCGCTCTTAACCGGGTATAAAGGAACTTCAAAAAATTGTCCCAAACATACAATGAACATTTATTTGGTAGCAGTTGAGGTTTAGCATTAACATGAAACAAAAATTAAATATTTTGCACAAATAAATAGAAAAGGCAGTGCTAGGCATTATAGCAATAAAGAATTAAGTTTGCTGCTGAATTAAAACAAACATCAGTGAGAAGAAAAAAAAAAAGAAAGGAAAAAAAAGTCAAACGAGTAGAAATGATTGCTTCTGGATGAGGACTAATTATATACAGTCACATTATATACAAGCACATTGTTTGTTCTCTGAAAGTCAATGGAATACATGACTTAAAACAAAATCTAATAGTTTAGTTTTCATATTTCATAGTCATGTTGGAAAAAATGTTTATATGTAATTTTAGTGATGAATTTCTATTAATTCATCTCAAATTATTTATGGAAACATTTTATCAATAACAAAAGTGTTTTTAGTTTTTGCACAGGAAACAAAGACTAAAACATTCAGATATAAGTACACATTAAAACTGTACTTATTTCAATTCTTCCACCATCAGATCAAAATTATGTTACTTGGCAGTATAACATTTACATTGCTAGTTATGGAGTTGTAAATTTATGATTAAAAAAAAGTATATAACAATTTTGTAATGAATAAAAGAGCTTCTAAAGGATATGTGATAATTAAGGATAAAAATGAGGCCCAACCAAAATACTACAGCTACAGACAGACCCCCACCATCCACTCCAGGATAAAAAAAGAAAAAGAAAAAAAAGGGATTTCTACAAAAAATATAAAATTATGAGTGAATTAAAAACCTGTAATGAGAAAAATGCTAATACATGACTAGAAAAATAAGGAAAAAAAAAACCAACTAAGAATGGTGAAAGGTTTACCTAGAAGAGTATAGGCATTGCAACATTTTTACATAAGATACGAGACAGTAAATAAAAACTTAACAGGGGGAAACATTTACTCAGACCAATTTTAAAAACAATTTCTCTTCAAATGATCAATAAAATTATGTTAATTCAATTAGACATTACCAATATAAAATTAATCCAATGATTTGATGCTAAAGACAAAAAATAACAAAGCAGTATATAGAAAACAATTAAAGACATCAAGACATATCAGAATTGATTTTTAAATGACAAACATTGAACATTTTTAAGGATCGTCAGGAATTCCATGTACGCGGAAACGATAAAGACAAGTAAATTCCAAATTGCCATGGTTGCTAGAAATACGAACTTCAACCAATTGCGTTGCAGCTGTATTCTCCACCTGTAACAAACAAGAGAAAAAATTCAATTAAACATTCAAAATTGGATTTGGAATAGAACAGGTGAAAAGTGAATGTGTAGAATAAATTAGGTTACCTGTAAAGAGAATTGTTGGATAGGTCTGCCATTATCTTCATAAGTATAATTCCCCAAACAAACACCTTTTTGATCATTCAGATCTGATAAACTCTGAGAGAGAGGAAAAAAAAAAAAAAGATACATTCATATTGAGATGAATATTATATTTGTGGATTTAGATTTCATTTTAAGTTTATTTTTATATTTTTTTTTTGTCTTAACAGGGATAAGTAAATTTCTTCTTTGAACAGAACTTCAAAATATAATAAGAATGCTAATTTTCAATTTCTTTGCACATTGACAATAAGAGCAACACAAAATTAATATGATAAATTGCCTTGGTATGAAGTCTCCCATCTGTACTTAAAACATTTTACATGATAAATTGTAAACTCAAAATGCTTTAAATTCAAGTTAAATTTACTACGTAGTGAGCAAAACATGTGTAAATTATTAAAACAGTTCACATTTCTTTCATTTATGAATTAGGAACTTATGCTTGCCTCTTATTGAATTTAACATCAGTTTTTAATTATCAGCTGTTCATCGGAATTGTCTAAAACTGTTAAAAATATATTTACATACCCCACACCCCAAAAAAAACAGTTGTGCTTACATAAACTGAAAAATCTTTGGGTGCACTGTCAATGCGTCCATGAGGAGAGATGGACTTAGGAATATGTTCCATGCTGATGGCAGTAATTTTAATCTTTCGAGACAACTGGATCACTAATGTTCCAATGCTGCCTTTGAAGGCCCAACACTCACCAGGATTTACATCAGGCTGAAAAGAGACATATTACAAATGGAACAATAGAAAACTTCTCTTCAACAGACTAGTTACTAAATGCAAATTATTGTTCATCAATATCTACTTTATATTAGTGTTACAGGATCATTAAAAAAAAAAATAAAAAAATAAAAAAAATCTGTACATGTATTCCTTAAAATTACAGAGATGCCATTGGAAAAAGAAAAAATATTTATGACTACATGGTTAGGTTTATTGCACACCTCACAAAATGAGCTGAAAAGATTTAAATTTTACCTGAATTGCAGTCCTGGGAGAATTGGATTTGTAAAAGAGAGGAATACCAAATATACTGACGAGGGCTGTTTTCTTTGTATAGGTCTCAGAACAACGGGTGCTGATCACGCTGCCACCTGAATAAATAGGAGGATGAAGTGGGTGTCTAAAAAAAATGCACTTTGAATACATTTTAAAGTTTCCTCAGAAAAGAAGTTAACTACTAAATGTCAAGATTAAAACAAAATTTGAAATTATATCCATTATTATAAATTAACTTAAGTTTTACTTGTGGGGAAAATTCGTCATAGAAGATATAATTGTAGTTAAATGTAGATACAGTTGAAAAAATTGAAAATCTTAAATTAGAAATTAAAACAATCTTTTATGAGTCAAAATATCAAATTTTTGTTTTAATTCTTGTTGCAATTAACTTGTAACCATAAATTTCTGTATCTATTGTAATTCTAGTCAAACCGTAAATTTGAATAATATAAATCCTCACCTCCAGATTCCAAAGCAAAGTCTGCCATGCCAGTTTTGTCAGCACTGAACTTGACAAGAGCATCATCTACCAAGGCTCGTACAAACTGGAAAAAAGGTGAACAATATTGTCGAGTTTTAAGAGCTTCATATGCTTCAATAAAGATTAATTCAAAATGTCATCTTTTATCAACATCAGAGAAAAAGCAATAAAGTCATTCAAATTACATTAATATCTAAGCAACTATTTTTCATGACATAATTATGCTCAAATGTAAGAAGTCTAATGCAAAGTTAAATATAGGAGTCTTCAGACTTCCATGTGGAGTAGAGAGCCACAAGTTTACTATGCTAGATGTTGCTGCTGTGGTTTTTGTAGCAATTAGGTTTTTATGGGGTTGAGCTGCTAGCACCATGCCCAATGAGTTTTGGATTCAGAGTTGTTCTAGACTGGTTGCCAACCAAAGCTAGAGAACAGTCTGTCCTGATAGTTAATCCATATCCGTAAGGAGAAGGGTAGTTGTACAAAAGTGAATTCAACAAACTTGGCATGCTGATTTCCATATTGATAACTGCTACACTATGTATACACCCAAAAATATTTTAATATACAATAATTAAGGTGTGTCCATTGTCAAATATGTTAAAGAACATGGATACTGTGTAATAAAAAAAAAAAAAATAAAAATCCAGGACTATGTTAAGAATTTTCAAGGACTGAAATTGTCGTATGCACACACACAAAATGAATGTTCACCAATTTTAAAAACAGATTATTTAATTTATCTTTTAATAGTTTAACAGATGAGACGTTCAAAGAAAAGCTACAGCCGGTTCCAATAATTCATGTCATATCCAAGAAATCCAAGTGTTGAAGGCTGAATGCAGAGTTGGTTATACTACACATTTTGGAATTCTACTACACTTGAAAATTTTGTATACACTTTAATTCTTACTGCTACACAATGGACTACCAATGGTTTGTGTAGGTCATAAAAACCCTTGACTACTGCACATTTGATGTGAAGTTAAGTATAAAGGTTTTAATGAACAGAACTAAAAAAAAATAGAAATTTTCACAAAATGACTACACATTTTAGTTATCCCTACTACTCATGGTTTTCATCCACATGGCACAGAACATAACGATGTTACTTTTTGTCAGTTCATCTAGTTTAGCATTCAGCTCCTCTTCCAATTTGAATCTCTCTTTGGATTTGTCATTTGCAGATCTCTGCATGGCATTGCGATAAGTGTGAAGTTCTGAGTCTGCTCAGTTCTCTCCACATAACTGTCAGCTGACTTGAGCAAATCTTGTGTGCAACTTTCAAGCCTGCTATTTTTGGTCTTCAGTTGTTCAATTTTGATAAGCATGGATTTCCATTTTTGTTCAACTGCTTCTTCCTGCCTTTTTTGTTGTATGCTGTTCTGGCATTTGAAGCACTGCCAAGAAGAGCTTTAATCATGGGAACACCTCCAACTGTGGCCAAATAGGCTGTGATAATGTGCTGTGCGACCAGAGTCTGCTGTTTCATATAGTCAGTGGAAATTTCTTTGAGAAACATCACTCCACTGAGGCCTTTCTATGAGAGAATATCAGCAATTTGTGAACAACTTTCCACATTTTTTGCTTTATTGCTAGACAAAGAAGAGTAGAACAGTGTCCAGATGGTCTTCATGATTGCTGAAATTCTTGAAAGCAATATTTCCAGCAGCCTCCTCCTCAAACTCTTTGTACTGATTGATGATGTCATCACAATAAGACTTGTTTTCTGTCCATCATGTGAGAAAAGACATCTTTTCAGACTATTTCATAATTTTTCTTTCTTTCAGTTTCAATTTCTGTAGCATATATTATTAGAAAAAGCAAGTTAAACTTTTCTAAATTAAATATCTTAATTTTTTGCAGATTTTCATTATTTTGATTCAAGATACATTTGTCTCTCTCTCAGTGTCCTCAGACTTTAAACTTTTTTTTACTAATTTAATTTCTCTTAGGTCTCGTTTTTCTAAAAACCAAAACAAAAATAGCCAACCAAAATTAAAATTGACAAAAAAAAAAAAAAAAAAAAAATCTTTATCTTTTTTCATTCCATAATTAAATATAATTTACTAATATCAGATGATCAGATAATTTTTGGTAAATGTTAAAATTAATGTGTATTTTCTGCTATTTCAATCTCTATGTAATTTTGAAAAAGAAAAAAAACCTTTATAAAAATGCCTGCAATAAAAATGTTACCCTTATCAAAATAATTCTTATATTGAACAAAAGAGAAAAGGATTCTAGGATATTTTATGTAAAAATTAATCATATCCAAAAACTTGTACTGTGTAAATTTTATCCTAGAATTTAAGTCTTCTTGATTACACAAGAGTTTTACAGTACAGTAGATGGTTTGCATGATTGAGAAGGCTTAAATTCTAGGATAAAATTTACAAAAAATAATATTTGGGAATTCTGTCTCTTTCATTCTATATAAAAATCATTTTGATAAGGATAACATTTTTTGTTTTAGGCGTTTTTATCTGATCAGTTAGTTATGTGCAATACATGTATCTTTTGAGACATGACTGATGAGGCAGATTTTCCCCCTGTAGTAGGGTTACCATTTATTTCTGCAGTAGACCAGTTGCCATCCAAGGCTATAGAACCTGGTCTGCCCTGCTATTTACCCATAACTGGGAGAGAAGAAGAGGATTCATACCTTTCCCAAGGGTATTAGCATGTAAGTGAATGTAATGGATTTAACTGGAATTTGAACTTGGCTCTCTGATTCCTCAATCAGAGCTGCTATCCATTACTCCACCATGCCTCCTTTATCAGATAGGGTGCCTTCTTTTCCCAAAAACGTGTGGCTACCCTTACTTTTTGGGCTTAAAAATAAAATCAGTCAGAACAATACAAACCCACAAATAAAAAAAAAACAAAAACAAAAAGGCTTTTGTTTTACTGGATTTTACACAAAGTTTCTTAAACCAAACATACCAGTGTTCTTCAGTTTAGTCAACTTTCTTCCTCGTGCAGTATTGTTTATGCATGTGCAGTCAGAAATTCAAATGGTAGTGAGAATGAATGGTTAGTATGAATCTGAGAGATAAAGAGAGAGTTTATCTTAGATAACTTGCCTTGCTTCTTTTTAAGTGGTTAAAAAAAAAAAAAAAATTAGTGTAGGCTGCCTTCCCATTTTCTGCGAGCCCAAAAAGTTACTTGTGCTTCTAACCTTTACAATGACTTTTTAAAGCACTTTCACCCATGTTGCCAATGTCAAAGTATTTTATTTTTGCACACTGTCCAGTTGACTTTCCATTTTGAACAATCTGTGGATGGAGCTAGTCAGCTCCGATAATCTTTTTTTTTTTTTTAAGTAACCACACCTCACTGAACATGCAATCACCTTTCCCCAGTTTTACTGAAAATGCTGTGGTGTATGAGTAAGGTTTCAGTTTATATATGCCCTGTACACAAGGTAGAAATACAAAAGTAAAGAGACATAGTAACAAGCAATAAAAGCCAAATAACCAATATATTTCATAATTTTTTCACACTTACAAGAAAAGCTAGATACAAGTTATTAGTCTGCAAACTTAAAAAAAAAAAAAAACAAATCAAAAAGCTAATAAAAATTTAGAGTGAATCTCCCTCGAGGTAATCAACAGAATCAAAAACCCAAGTGAAATAACAATCTAGAAATAAACTTTTATTAAAAACCGAGATTGTTTTCAACACAAATGCAAGTATTTCTCTTTTGTATTGACAAACAGCCACAAAAACCATATGATTGTTAATTTCTTTAAAAAAAATTTGAGGAAATAAATTTTTGTTTATGTTTGCCTGTGAACAAGTCAAGGAGCAATTATTTAAGAATCTTAAAAAAAAAAAAAAAAAAAAAAAAAACTTACGGATTCAGAAATGCCTGAATTAACACCCGAGAGATAAAGTGTAGCATTTGGTTTCTCCTTGAGTAACATATCTTGGAGTTTCTTTGTTAAAGTCTTGGCTAAAACACTCAATTGACTGTCTAATTCAGAACGGCTGATGTAGTTGTCATGCAGCCAGGCTGTAAGTGTCTGTTGCACAACACTCTCGGCTGTTCCGCTGTCTCCACCAGTATTTCCGCCCAAAACCTGTACAAAAGATTAAACACAAGTAGGATAAAAAATATTCAAAGTTATCAAAATATTTTAATTTTTTAAAAACATTTCTGAATGTCACTTACAAAATGATTTTAAACTTCAAACCAGTTAGTTTTATAAATTTAGTATTTGTAAGATTGCTCCAGTAGGAAGTTGGGGTAGGCATTTAAATAAACTTAAAAAATAATAAAAAAAAATAAAATATACATTAGGTTAAGCATTGAATTTTAAAAGATCAAATCTAAAATCTTGATCAATTTGCACACAGCAATGGAGTGCAAACTCACAGAAGTTAGTTCACACACACACATACATACACAGGCATTATTCTAAACAATTTCTTCAGCAACTGCATTTCATTAATAACCAGAAGAAAAGGTGTAATTTTTTTTTTTTTATTGCATCAACTGCAGCATTTGAAACATTAATCTTGAACTTGTTTCTTTTTTATGGTTTCAGCAGCATAAAAATATTGAAGAATGAAGTTGCAGAAAAAAGACTGAAGATTGTAATAAGTTTACCTTCAAGAGAGCAGCATAGACTTCCTCTTTGATATCAGAACGAATGGCTGTGGCATTCTTGCAGCAGTTTTTAAACAAATTATAATATTCATGCTGGAAGTTCTTCAAGTGGCTGAATTCTCCAACAAGGGTGTGAAGAGATTCTTCAAGAAGTGCAATTTTGTTTTTGTTTTCACCACTTGCTGAACTTTGACTGATAAAGAAATGAGAAAAGATTTTTAAAAATTGATGCTTGCATGAAAATTCTATTAGCTAGCTCTGAAAAGACCAAGATGATAAAAAAAAAAAAAAAAAATCTGTTCACGGGTCAGATTCTGAACTTGCAAAGAATTTTTTTACAAAATGATGGCAGAATAAATTTAAAGAAATTCTAATATATAAACTATTTCAGCCATCAGATTAATCAAAGAAAATTTAAGGAAAAACCAAAATGCATTTAGCAACTTTGCCCTCAAAATAAAATTTTGGTAAAGGAAGTTTTTATGAATGCATACGAGTGTTTTAAGAAATTTAAACTTTTATATGGAGTATTTTCTTAAACTACAAAATAGTAAAATTATTTTATTTATAAATTAATAAAGCACAAATGTACAAATTAGTACATTTTAGGAAAAAGACCAGATTTTTTTTTTTTTAGTAACATACAAACTAATACCAGTGAATATATAAAATATTTAAAAAGTGAAGAATAGAGATGAATAGAAACAAACTTATCAAACAAGAGTTGAATAAAGATAAACCTACCTTTCTAATGACTTCTTAGCAGCCATTAATTCAGTGTTCAAAGTCTGAAGTAAAAAAAAAAAAATTAAAAATATACATTTAGTTTGAAAGATTGCTTTACAGAAAACTAAAAATAAAAAAAAATAAAAAAATAAAAAGTGTAAATAAGACTTGAAGAGAGAATAAAAAATTTGAAAGATTTACTGATTAAAACTCAAAACATAACTGTCAGTATTAAAAAGTTGAATTAGGAAAAGTATTTGGTTGCATAAGTCAGAAGTGATTTCAGAAAAAATTAAAGTTACTTCAGCTTTTGTAATAAGGAGTTTCATTTTTTCATTCACGGTTTCAAAATGTGCCAACTGTTCCTGTTTCCATCCTTCCTGAAATAAACAAGGATAGAAAAACTGATGAATATAAAAATACAAAATCAATTTCAAAAATTGAAGATTTTTTTTTTTTTTTAAAAAATAACTCAAATGCTGCCTTTAGGTGGCAGCCGCTAAAGTCACTTCCTATTTATAGAATTTACACTAAAAATTATTTGCAATTGTTTATCATGTATGTCTTGTCTAGTCTCTGGTATGGCACTATTGCTGGCAGAGAAGAGTACAAAAAGGTTAAAGATTCTTCTGTTTATTCCTCTTAAGAATAAAAGGGAAACAACTGTAAATAGCTGTTCAGGTAATTGACTTGGAGTTATTATTCTTGGACAGAAACCCGTGGTAGATTGAATTCAAAATTGCATAAAATAGAACATTATAATGATATTGTGTTAATGAAGAATACACTATGTGAGGTGACTCATTTACATATGAAGTCACAAAGACTATAAATAGCTACATAAAGCAGTTGCGTGCATACTACTTCCCGTGAGTTGGTAACACTATGCTACAATGGCGTTGCTAATATCTAATAAACCGAATGAACAATTATCACTTGATAATTATGAGTATTCACAAGTGTGGCTTAGGATACTAGCAGCTAAAGCTAGAACAAAAAACTAAAAGGATTTGAAATCAATTGGAGGAGAAAATCAAATAATCTTTTGTTGGCAACTGCTGGTTGTGAGGCCATTATAAAATTATCAGTTGGTGGATATGATGTTAGACAATATAAATCAACTAATGGTGAAAAACATAGTACTCAAGAAAAAACTAGTGACTGCAGAGAGAGCTAAGTTCATAAATATTTCTCAAATGTGAATGAACCAGTCAATGATTATGTTCTTCATTTAAAACAAGCTGCTAAATATTGTGAATTTGAGAAACAGTCAATCAAAGAGGATTTGATCCAAATGAAATTAGTAAACAACCTCCAAAATTTAGAAGTATCAGCAAATGACTAATTCATTTACACCTGGGGAAGTTGTTAAAATAGTGTGTTGAATTTGTTCAGCAACAAGAATTGATCGGAAAATTTAATAGAACAAACGTTACAGATCCCGGTAAAGGAAATGGACACATACACCATAAAGAAAAAAAGATAAAATAAGGTGTAATCTTTGTGGATATCAACATCAAAGAGAAAAACAAAAATGTCCGTCATATATATCATGGCTGTTTAAAACACTTGTTTTTGTCATATAGGAAAATTCAGCATGGCGCGTAAACAATTTTCGGCAAAAAATCTCATTCGTCAGTAAAATTTTAAACACCTCATAGTGTAAAGTTCTTAAAGAAAACCTATGTCAAACTGTTTTCCTGAATCCTTGATGACTTGGCTGTCCGAAAATGATAATATCAAGATGAAATAATGGAAACTGACCGTGAAAAATACAATTATGCACAACAGGTTTTCAATCAATTAGTAAACTTCTGGACCTTTTAGGGCGACGTTATAGGATCCAGACGGCTATTGTTTGCACATGGAATTATTCACTGGTAATTAATCTTCGATTTGGCTGTGGAAAATGTCACTTGGCGGTTAGCATTAAGAAATTATGCCCAATTTTCTGAGAAAAATCCCCCTTTTTTAATGAAAAAATTTATTTTCGCTTCAAAATAACATCATTCAAAATTCATTCCTTTCTCTTTCATTTGGCATGAATATCATTGAATGAAAGGAACGGCTAAATGGACCGGTAATGGGAAATATGAAAGATATGCAGCGAAAAAAAACAATGTCGTCTGCTAAGTGTTGTTGTCATCATCCGGGTCACGGGGTGTTAAAAACAAAACAAAACTCATCAAGCCATTGTTCAAACATAGGTTATATCAAGCCCTAGTAATGGTGAACCCTTTTTTTCACTCTTTGCTTTTATCTGGGAGTGGTGGGTTTTATTACTTGTTTTAAGGTTTGCCGTTTATTGCTGGCTGGCTGACCTTTGACCTAGACGTCAAAGTCAATTAGGTTTAATTTTCCTTATCGCTATTTTTTGAAAAAAAAAAAAAAAAAAAAAAAAAAACTTTTTGGTTTCTGGTGGTTAGGAATTGCAGATAAATCTCTTGCCTTTTACTAAAGATTTCCGTGGCCGGGTGTCAATATTTTTTTAACCCTTGGCAGTCATATAATTGAAAATTAACAATGGATTTTGTCGCATTTTGAACCCCTAGGAATGTTGATTTCCTTCAAAACTCAATTTTATGCCTGAAATAGTTTGATTATGATTTAGGCTTTCTGATTTCCAAAAAAAGGTTAATTTCCCATTAATGGGGGAAATATTTGTTTAAAACAAGAAAAAAAATGCAAAAATTTCAATATTTTTTCACATTTTACCCACTGAAAAAAATTGAGTCATTTACACCAGCTAATTTTACTTTTAAATGAAAGAATATATCCTTTGCTTTCAGAAAATACCTAGTTTCATGGGGTTCAGATCAAAAGTTTCCTTGATATTTGTTTAGATGATGATAAGTCATTTTTCAATATTTTACCCCTATAAAAGTATGAAAATCCATTTTTTGAGAGAAAATAAGCTGTGACAAAATGACTTGCCATTTTTGTGATGATTTTCACTTGGGAAAGAAAGTTTTTACCATAGGAAACCTGAATTGACTTTAAGTTCAGTGGGGCTATAGGAAACCTCAAACAGCTGTGAGATATATATATATATATATATATATATATATATATATGTGTGTGTGTGTAAATCCAAAAACAAACATAGAAAGAGGATTTGATCAAGTGCTGCATAAATTTGTTAATATAGCCATAAAGAATTATTTTCTTTTAATAATCTATTTCATCTCTTTTCTTTACATAAGTATTTTTGATAACCATCTTAATGGCTAAGTAGTATTCATCCTTTATGGCTGGAAGAGAGATTACCCCCCAAACATTTCTTTTCAAAGAAGCCATTGAATTTATTAAGGCAGTTTTTTTTTGTTTGTTTTTTTTTAATTAATGGCAGAGAAGAAAGGGTGTAAAAGAAGATATTGTCTTACCAACTGTTCATTCTGTTTGAGGCCATTCTGATTGAGGTGACCCATAAAGGCTGCCAGTTGTTCTGCAGACATTGACTTTATCATTGCCTCTACATCAGCCCGGCTTAATTGCTCATTCTGCTTCTCTCTGGTCTCTTGCATTTGCAAAATCAACATCTGTACTTGTTTTTCAAGCAACAACTGGGAAGTGCTTGCCCCTCCTCGTTCAATCATAATCACCTATAAATGCAAGCAGAAACTTGATTATCATAAAGTATGTGCTTGAGAAATAATTAGAGAAAAAAAAAAAAAAAAGTTAATTTTTTACTTTTATTAAAAAAAAAAAAAAAAATCTTACCTCAGGTTTTCTTATAAAAGGCAACATTGTTAATTGGTTGATAATGGTTGTTGAGTTTTTTGCTGATAGCTCAGCTGCAAATGAGAGAAACACAAATGTGAACAAAAAAAAAAAAAAACAGTCAATACAACAAGTGAGGAGAAGGACTGGCACAATGTCTTAATAGTAGAATAAAATTTTGAGTAGAGGAAAGGCTGAATAACTTAATACAATGCCCAGCTTAATTGATAAGCATTAAATTGAAGACCAATGTGTTAAAATCTGCAGAGTCATGATACCAAATCATTTTGTATTTATCGAATTTATATCTGTAATTGTTTAAATAACATATCACCAGTGAGACTCAAAATGACCTCTTGCAGTTTAAAATACACAGTACAACAAATCAACCTCAAGAGGTTAAACAAAATTGTTTTTTTGGATGCTCTTATTAGGCATCAATAATGAAATGAAGAGCATTGAAAATTGAAGTGAGACTTAAAAAAAAAAAAAAAAAAGAAAAAAAGAGAGCAGAGGATGGAAACACTTTAATTCAAGACAAAATGATTTTAAAAAAATGAAATGATTCACTGAAAAAAGCTTTTCCAAAAAAGAACTACATAATTAAATCTGTCTTAAAAGATCTTTTTCTCTACACCATTTAGAAGTTAAATAAAAAGTTCTATTTTATAGTGGATGAGATGGATTTAGCTTATAGATTACACAGAATATCATTTGAATACCAATCTTTACACACACACACAAAAAACTTTTCATTCTGCATAGCTTAAAAATAGATTTCCTTTTGTAATGTAAGTGGAGAAACAAATCCCATTTATGAGGCAACAGAGATGAAACTTTAAATATCTTCGCTTTCAAGTATTCTACTCCATACAGAGGTGGACTAGGATACCAGGAAATTTCCAGCTGGTCCCCAAAGTGATGGTTCATCACTTTAGAAAAAAAAAAAAAATAAAAAAAAATAAAAATTAATAATAATAATAATAATTATAATAATAATATTGCATAGATGCTGGGAAGATTTAAATAATGCTTCTTTAATGCTATAATTTCTCCTTATTTTTTTTCCCTTTGACTACATTTTGGGATTAAGTGAGTCCTTTTGCCTGGACCCTTTTATAAGTTTTCCCAGTAGAAATTTTTGACCAGTCTGACACTGCATACATATATATAAACTAAAAAAAAAAAAAAAAAAAAAAAAAAAAAAAAAAAAAAAAAAAGAAAAGAAAAAAAAAAAGAAGAAAAAAAAAGAAAAAGTTTTCTTTACATTGGAACCTAACAAACTAATACTTAATATATTGACTGACACCTTGGATATTTGAAACTTTTCATAGATTTATTTTTAGAGTTACAATGAGAAATTTGTACATAAACAGTACATATGCTTTATTTTGGTAAATAAAATAAAATTTATTAAACTATAAAGGATGATGTTAATGTGACCCCTCAGTATTTTATATTGACTTAAATAAACCTGTGAACAATCTATTTGCTCCAATCTAGACTGCTTGAGTGAGAACTAGAGTAATGGTCAGCAAGAAGGAGCAGCGTCATCTACTAAAGAGCTGCAAAGCATTACAAGTTTGCATCAGATTTTACATTTTAAATATCTTCCTGAATCTTACAATTATGATTGGCCTGTATAACCAAATTGATTTTCTCAATGTTCCTGCAGATAGAATGATCCTTGGACATCAACTAGTGATGAATTGGACTGTGAACTACTACAATTAAAGTTGGCATTTCAACAGGGGAAATCTTTAAATTTCAAGTGAGAAACTAAAATGACATTTTAAACAATCACTTAACCGAAGTTTCATGGTCTAAAATATTGCATAAAATATCTTGTACCAATTTTCAGATTAAAATAAGTACCCTTGATTTTATTTTGCCAATTTAAAATTGCTAAGACTGGCTTATCAGAAGTCTTACATTACATGATTAACAAAAGAGAGAAAGTAAGATAAGAGTCAATGTTAATAGTTGAGGTAAAGAAAAATCATGCCCAAACAAACGATATATATTTAGACATTAACACACATAGAATGCAGTCTTAAAGATTTATTCAAGCTTCTTTATATAGAAACATTGATCAACAGGATAACAATTAACCTATTATAAAAAGTATATTTTTACATTCTATTTTTTGCTATGCAGATAAAAAAAACAAAAAAAAAAAAACTATCAATGGTTAATGATCCTTGCTGTAATTTTAACAAAGATGATGTAAGGGTATCACAGATGGTAATATCTGCAAAAATATTTCAAGATGATAGCAGAAACAGCCAGTAAGAAAGCAACACTTACCAATTGCCCATAATCCACTAAGTAATAAAGGCAGGAGCAGCAAAAGCAGTAAGGGTAAACAGCAACAACAGAGTCGACGAGAAGTAACACTGTCAACAAGATGAGAATAGATAAAGAATAAAGGAAAGAAGAAAAGCAGATGTTGGGTGTTTCTGTCTTGGACACAACTGTACAAAGAATAACAGAATAGAAATCAACCTTTAACTTAGACACATGCCATTTCTATTATACTCAAGAGACTTTGTAGAATTAATTACATAAATTTGAACAAAAATATTCATTTCCTCTAGTTTGGGTTTCATTTACTATGAAACTATAAAATGAGACTTAAAAATATTAAAAACTTCATTTAAAATATTTTTACACATCTAAAGCTAGCTTTCTGTAGAAAGAAAGAAAATCTTGTAATTTCAGAAAGGGTCAAGTTCAATACATACACTGAAGCAACTTTACGTGTTGTTCCAAGTGTTAGCCAATCAACAACCTCTATAACAGTAGTTACAGTCTTTGTACACAAACGTTTTGCACCTGTCAAAAATAGATGACAAATAATAAATTATATGACAAATGCTCATAGTGGCAAAATTAATACATACATACAATAATTATGTATTAAAAAGTATCTTTCTTTAAAAAAAAAAAAAAAAAAAAAAAAAAATTACTTTTTGTATGGATGGGAGGATATTAAACATTTAAATCAATTGTTTAATTTCCATGAGAAAAATCCATTCTACCAGTATTAAAACATGTGTATTTGATTTAAACTAATTGAAAAATAAATCTCCAGAAGAAATGCTGGTGATTATGTTCATTAAAATGGAAAGATCCAGTCTTAACAGAGTTGTAATAATGACTGGTAAAAGAATTTTGATGTTAGAAGTAAATTTGTATTTTCACCTAAGTCAAAGAAAGAGTAATACCAAAGAGAACCAACAAACCTTTGGCAGTGGCCAAAACCAACCCATCTCTGGAAGCAGTTCTGGCTGTGGCCTGTTTAGTTCCTGCATAGTAGGGACTGGACATGGAATAAATTCCTGAAGATGCTGAAGCTTTTGCTGTAGTAGACCTGCCACACACATCATCATAATCTGTAGAAATTTTATGAAATGATTATTAGCATTTGATTCAAGATACTGAATAGATAAAATACATTTTCAGAATTACATATTACATTTTCTGAGCTATGATTTTATTCAATTTAAGAATATGTTCAGAATTTTCATTTGTTATTTTCTTCAAGTATTATGGCTGGCTGAATGAAAGGATAATGTTAGAATTCTAAACTTACCATCAGTATCAGAGTCAAGGCCTGTTTTGAAAAAAAAGAAACAAAAAAAAGAAATAAAGTCTTTATAAATGAAATTAATTTTGTAAATCTAAAGTCAGAATGAAATTGAAATAAATATAAGAGTAGTCACCAAATGATGCTAGTTATCAATAATTAGTGAATCAATACATCAGTAGCCTGACATGGTTGAATTTTGCAGTGAAATTTTCCGTGTAATGTTTGATCTATGGAGAAATGTTAAGTGCATTGACAAAGAGAAGAACAAATACTTTATTATTATTGTATGTGTGTGTGTGTGTGTGTGTAATTTACAGCCACAAAGTGAATATTGATTATATTTAAGAAATACAAAAAGGTAAGAGAAAAATTCCTAAATTTCATAAATAGTTAGGAAATAAACTCAAGGGCCAATTCTACTAATTGAAGCCTAACTAGTTTCCAGTACTGATTTTCTTTTTTTAATGATGTTGCCTTGTAATGACAAACTTCTTTTAAAAAAATGTATAATCTATAAGGTAAAACTGAACTGCTATCTACTTATATCACCTTGTCAAACATGTTCAAAGCCTTTTGAAGAATGTCTGAGTAAAAATATCTCCCCCTGCCCTGCCTCATGTTGAATGGTTTTAATAGTACAAGTAAAGCTTTTTTCTTCAAAAAAAAAAAAAAAAAATCATCAGATGGAAACTAAGAAAAATAAAATTAAACAAATTTATTCATATTGCAATTCCCTTAAGGAAAAGTGTTATTATGAGTTTAAATTGCAGTCAGAAAATAGTTTTAGATGTGAGTGTTATCTTTCTTGTATTGAAGGACAGCATATATAATGTTTTTTTTTTAAAAAGAATATTGTATCATTCAAACAAAAGAATATTCACTTGATTTGAGAGCATATTTTTTTTTATATAATGAATGCAAAAGGATCAGTTTTAATTTGAAAAGCTTACATAGATATCACAAACTCTGGCAATAGCAAAACCTCGTTTAAAACAGAAAGCAAATGACCATGTAAATTCAGAGCAAGTTTTCCATTTTTAAAACAAATGATTTCTTAAAAATCTAACATTATATAATTCTAAGTTTCTATATTTATCCCTTTAGCATTCAAGATGCTCAAACCTGCCCCATAAATATTGCCTCTCAAAATCTGTTTGTGGTCAAAGTCTCACTGTTTGCATAACTTCCTGTGTTATTTGTGATGTCGTCGTCCTATATTATGGTAAAGTATACATAGGGTGAGTTACAGAAGGCGGAACAATGAAAGCTGATATTAACAGCAAGAGGTTAATGAAATTTTTAAAGTTATAGAAAAAAAAATGTAATGAATTTAAGGGGAGAAATTGATATGGAGGTTAACTAACACATTTCCCATCAAAACAACACACCTATCTTTTGTAATATAATTTGATTTTATAATGAGATATAAGTTTTTCATACAGTCACAGTTATAATGAAAACTAGCCCAATTTTTTCTTAACAATATTAAGTTTTCTTTGATTATTAAAATGATGATAAAGTTGTAAAACATTATATATTCAAAATACAAGGAAAGATTGTAAACTATTTGCATGAAATAATAAAAATCAATAGGAATATTGTTTAAACAAAAGTGCAATATAAAAAGTTTTCGAACTCACCATACATATGTTTGACAGTTGTAGTTGTATCCTTTTTAAAATAGCTACCAGGTAAGGACAAAGCAGCTACAGCAGATGCCATCTTTTGGGCCAGAAACCGTTTTTGGGACATGTTACCACTTTGTGTGTAATAGCCACTAGACTTCTCACTAGTGCTACCTGCCGACTCATTTTTATTATAATGAGCTGAATTACTTTTATATGAGGATGTCGATTGTTGCCTGTAATGGCTGTCCAGGTTGCTATCTTTGCCATAAAGTAGAGCTTTATCATTGTCATAAATATCAGCTGACTTGTCTTTGATAAGGTAATCTGTGGTGACAGTTTCTTTTGTAAATTCCCTGGAGGCAGTGGCAGCAGCAGCTGAGGAGGAGGAGAAGGAGGAGGAGGAGGAGGAAAGAGCCTGGTTCTCTTTGATAGCTTTGCTTGTATTTGCCTCCTTCATTCCCTTTTCTATTTGGCCTTCTGAATCTTCATAAAATTCAGTCACTGTATTTGTTATTGTTGTAACAGTTTTAGTGTTTGAAGATTCATGCTTAGAGTTATTACTTGACCGTCGACGATTGATTACTGAATTGGATGTCTGCAGTGCTGAGCCTTGATTATTCTCCAAATGTTCATTATGGATATTTTCTGAATAAAATTAAGAAAGACAGATTCCAGAAGAATAAAATTTTGATATAAAATCATTTCAAGAAAATCAATTGCAAATAGCTTGAAATATCTAAGTGCACTTTTAGTCACAAACACATTTAAATGATTTTTATATATAAATTAGAAATTGAGGACTTGTTTCGAATTTATATCTAAATTCTTTCCAATCATGATTTTATATTTGATAAGCTTTTCTCAATTTCAAATTTCTAGTGATCATTATCCAGTAAACATTTTCTAGAACAAAATTGTGACTGATCAAAATTTAAAAAATTCTCTATGGCTTAGAGCTATAGAGAATTTTTAAACTGTAATTACAAATTTTACAAAATTAAAACAGACTAAATTTTCATTAACTTTATACTCAACTTGTTTTTACATTAAATATATAAAAGTGCTAAATCTATTTACATATTTTTTCAAAAAATTAATAGGAACATAAGATTTGTGCGACACATCCAAATTTGTATAGAAAATTTCAATGCATAGAATGTGAAATGTTGACCACCTCTGGAGTAATGGGTTTCAATCTGTTACATTCTTACAAATTAAATTTCCCCTCGTACAATCAACTCAGTTTTGACATAAATAAAAATTTATATGTTCAATAAATTTAAAACAAAATGTACTAAATTTGATGCTCAATAACTCCCCCTGTTTATATTTAATATTAGAATACTATAGGGTTAGGCTAGGTACAAGTACTGGTAGTCTATGGTATTTTTCAATATTAAATAATGACAGTATTGAGAACATGTAGTGGATGAACAAAAACAAAAAACAATATTACAATGTAAGATCAAAGATTGATAACCATTTCCAAGAGCTCTACCTGATAAATAACTGCTGAAGCTGTTTTCTGAATGCTGAGGTGTGGAAAAATCTGTGACTTTCTCTCGTGACCGTAACCAATGCGTACTTGTTGGAATCATCTTTTTAGGAGACTCCTGACTCCCAAGAAGACTTGTGTCTCCATGAAGTCTACGTCGGGACATGTTGGGACTTATATATATCTTGTCACCTTTTACATTATTATAGCTGACACTGGAAAAGAAAACCAGTTAAGTCTGAAATCACAAATATAAAAACTTATCAAAATTATCAACTATTCGATAACTAAAAGTACAGGATCATATAACTAAAATCTTTCTTTAAAATTTATAAACTATATTTGAGAAATTTCTTAAACCACTTTACTAGACTTGCCTTTGTTTTAAGTTACTGTGAGAAGAAAGGAACAAGTTTGATTATTTAAATGTGTATAAACATGCTTATAGTTGCCTTCTTTTAACTGGATTTTTAATATACATCAGTATAAAATTTGTTTCTGATCAAATTAGATACCTAAGTAAATGAGCATGGATTGTAAATTTTGTTCATAAAAAGGAGATTATAAACAAATAGGTTAAAATCAAATTTTAAACAAACTAAGGCATTTTAATGCTTTTTATGACAGCAATTTGTTAAGTCAAACAATACCTCTACATTACGAAGTAATTGCTCAGGACAGTTTTTACCAATTCATATCTACATAAGCACATTATATTTTGATATTTAAGTATCAGAGATTTTCTGGGGCCAGACACCATTTACACACCAACAGGAATTCTCTCCAGCAATTAACTTTGAATGGCTATATTTATTTTCTTCTGATTGTATGCAATGCCCAAGTCTGGGGGCTGCTGATCTGCTCTCCTGATTGAATGGCGAGTATCCAGATGTAGTCCCACCACTTCTTGTCTGGAAATCTTTGGTTGGACAGTCTGAGGTCAGTTTCATCAGCCTACACTTCCATACTGGATTAGGGCAAATTGGAAGAGAGTATTGTACTTTGACAAGTTGAAAAAAAGATATACATAAACTGGTTTAAAGAAGGCTTTCTCTTCACAAGGTAGATTTATTCATGTCAAATATCAATCTGGAATTTTTTTCCTTCTCCAAGACTGATTGCCTTCACTATGGCTAAAATCTATGTACCCCATATTTCTTCCATAGGAAAAAGCATTAGATAAAATCTTAGAAAGTCTCCCTGGTTTCTCCTGCAGTTACAAATCTGAAACTTAGCTGCTGATTTCTATACTTCATCAATAATGACAGAATATCTTAAACACGTTTTCATATCATTTGCTTTGCTGTCTAAAATAAGCTCAGTCAAGAGGTCAACAATTTAATTTTGGACAACAGGTGAGGTCCACTGCATAAGCCTCTAATTTTTCAACTTTTCTCCCAGTCATGTAATATTGAACTGAAAACAAAAGTTCCAAAACATTACCATGATTAATTACAACATGACCTTGTTGAGCTATATTTTGTTGGGCAGTAAACATTTTCAAAGACTTTATTGCACAGTACTGGCTGCTTGTGTACAGTATACGACTAAACACCTATTTGTTCTTTTCATTAGATCAACAGCCTACCCACTTCATCATAGCTTGCTGATGAAATACTTTTCAAATGCTTTGTCTTCAAAAGAAATCTGACACTGGAATAAAAGAGAGTGTTGGGTTTCAGTTGAAACAGAAAATTTATAACAATTTCCTTTATTTAAATTTAAGTGACTCTTTAAAGCTCACTATTTCAAAAATAAAAGTGTCACTATATGCATAAACAATTTACAAGGGTAATGCAAGGCTTGACATTTGTCAATGTCATAAGTGAAGGATTTAAATTTCTCAAACTAACCTCCTTAACAGATTTCTTTGATTTAGGTTCCGTTTTACCGATACAAACCTGTAGAAAGTTATGAATCACATTCAGTTTTTATCACTTGAAATATCAAATTTGGAAGAACTAGATTCTCAAGACTAGTTTTTATTATTATTTTTTTTGTTGCATATCAATATATATATATATTTTATCTGAAGGATTTAGTAGTGAATATCTTTAAGAGAAAAAAAAAAAAAAAAAAAAAAAAAATCAAGGCAATCAATGTTGGATGATTTTTCAGACATAAGGATAATCTCAAAGTCTGGCATGAACAATCCTAATAGCATTTTCTTTGTAATTAGGAGTAATTGGTTGCTGCATTCTGCACATTCCATGCATTGACAATAAAAACATTTCTATTATGAGATCTGACATAAATTCCCTTAGCATGTATAACATACAAAAAAACAAGAGCTGAAAATTTTGTAAAAAAAAAAAAAAAAAAAAAAGTCACTAACACTTCGAATTCTAAAAACTGTAAGCAATTTCTTAAGCAATATTTTATAATTTGTGTTTAATGTTTGTTTTCTATAAAATCTAAAAATGTTTGTGGCAAAGAAACATCTAAGAGTGACTGATGAAAATAAAATAGTGAAAAAGTAGGAGTTTGTTACCATAATTACAAATAATATATTGCGATAACATTAAAGACTCCCCCACCTAAATATTAATAAAACTTACCTTCTAGAATACGTGTAATCTGTTTTGGGTTCCCTAAAATAAAAAAAATAAAAAATGAAAAAAAATAAAGGTTTTAAGATGGCACACATTTTGTTTAAATGGTGTATCCACCCCCCTGCCAAAAAAAAAAAAAAAAAAATTAAATCAAACCAATCATCCTATAAAATTACAAATAAGGCCAAATTGTTTTTTTTTTTAAATTTTGTCAATTAAGATGTATAAAATAAATGATAAAATTATCTATTTTATTTGAAAATATACCACTTTGAAAGGAAAACAACTTGTGTTTTCTTTTGGGAGTTTTCTCCTATGTTGGAATGTGGTAGTAAACTATTACAAATAGTTAAAACAGTGGAGCCATGACTTTTCCCCATTAAATTTTTGTTCATAGCTATTTCCTTTTAATTTTTTTTTTTTTTTTAAATTCACAAAAGTACATAACTACTAAAATGAGCACACTGATTTTTAACATGATCAATCTTCAGTTTAATAATTTTTTTTTTTTTTAATAATTTTACTTTATTAATTTAATGAGAAAATACAATGTTACTATTAAAATATTTTTTATATTAACACAAAAAGCTACAACATAAAATGGTTATATTTTTGGTAAAATTATTCACAAACTGTAATTGTTAAAAGTTAAATTTTGGCATTAAGATTCTTAAAAAAAAAAAAAAAAAAAAAAAAAAAAAAGAGGAAGAAATTTAATTCAATTTAAAAATATAAATACTTTCATTTATAATATTGTTACCATTCTAAAAATAAATTTCAATTCTATTTAAAATGAAAGTATTCCTTGGGCAGAACGTGTACAGCAGCTGAAAATCAAAATGAGCAGAGCTAATCAGATATTCTAGGATGGGATTTCGTACTTCAAGATTACAATACTTTAAAAAAAAATTTTTTTTTTTTTTTTTAAGCATTTCACCCCAAACAAGGCAGAAATGCCACTAGCACGCAAGAGGTGACAGAGGGGAGAGAACAAGTGTAAAGACGCATGTTTGGGGAGAGGATAAAGAGAAGGATGGGGAACAAGATCAAGGTATCAGAAGATGTTGATTGCCATTACACTTGAATATTTGAAGATTATAGTTATTAGGAAAGCAAGTAAGAGGAAGAGAATTCCACAGACAGGAAGTGCGAGAGAAGCTGTTTGAGTAGAAGAGACGGTTACATTTAACAGTTTTGACAGCGAAAGGGTGGGACTGAGATGCCAACCTAGTAGCTCACTTAAATTCATGCAGTCTGGGAGCCAGCAAAAGCAACTTGTTGAAACAGTTGCAGTGAAAGTACTTATAGAAGAGACGGAGGGAATCTATGGCTTCTCACGTCTGTGAGAAAGCAATTGTAGACTAAATGCCAGATAAGGACCTATCACATTGCATATCCGTTTCTGGATTTTTTTTTTGAGGACCTCAAGACTTACAGCAGGGATACCCGACCATATATGACAATATTCCATGCAAGGACGGATGGTTGATTTATAGATTTGAAAGATGAACTCAGACTAGAAAAACTTTTTGGCACGACACCAAAGTCCAACTTTTCTTGCGGTAAATGAAGCTATTAAGTCTATGTATTTGTTCCACCTCATATCAGCGAACAGCGTGAGACCAAGCAGGTGCAACAAGGCATTCTGATGGGACTTTGGGAAACACCAGCATTTGTGATAAAGGAGCTGGAGGAGAACCTGTTGTTTAGGATGACGTTCATTTCACAGTTTGACAGGAATGATTGTATTAAATCAAATAATCATGCCATATCCCTGAAGCTTACAAAGAAGGCCGGCATGCCAAACCCTATCAAATGCTTTAGAGATATCTAGAGCCATAGTTCAAGCTTCTCCATTATTGTCAAGTGTTTGGTATACAGATTCAGTTACGGCCATGAGCATGTCAGCAGTAGATCGAGCAAAGCGGAAACCATATTGCTTGTCGGAGAGCAGACCATGGGAAGCAAGATGCTTAACCACTTCAGCATTGATTAAAGCCTCAAAGATTTTACTGAAGAGTGGTAAGAGACTGATAGGGCAGTAATTAGATTGGTCAGAAGAGTCTCCAGAGTTCTTAAAGACAGGCACAGCAGATGAGGACTTCCAACAGGCTGGAAAACAAGAGAGTCGGTGATGCAGTAGTTATATAGTTTGGAGAGGAAAGGAGCCAGTTCAGGAGCACATTTCTTCAGGACAATGGCCGGTATCCCGTCCCCACCACTAGCCTTATGGGAGTCTAATTTAGAGATGATGTCCGATACCATCGTTGGGGTTATGTGCATCTCACTCAGTAGAGTCTCAGTTTTGTGGGGAAAATTGGGCATGGGTACACCAGATGAGTCTAGTGTTGAGTTGGATGAGAATTTCCAAGCAAAGCATGCAGCCTTGTCAGCAGAGGAAGTCAGGACCTCAAATTGATTGTATAATGGAGGTATTGTGGGTTTGTTGTTGCTCAGCACGCTCTTGCAGAGCTGCCAATAATTTTTAGAACCAAACTTGTGAGAAGCAATACATTGTTTCAGTCTACTTTTCAAAGAGTAACTTTGCTTCATTGAAGACATGCTTGCACTCATTACGGGCAGTGACAAAGAGATGTCTGTTGCAATCAGACATGTCACTACAGTACAGATGGAAGTAGTGATTCCTGTGGGCAATAGCAGCTGAGCAAGCAGCCGAGAACCAAGAGGAGGAACACAATTTCACTTTATATTTCCTTGTGGGGATGAAGGTCTCGATTCCAGCTTTTACCCAGGATGAGACCTCAGATGAACATTTTTGGACGGGGAGATCATGAAGGAAATCACGGAATGAGTGCCAGTCTGCTCGTTGATAACAGAAAGACGTTCTGTTGATGGGAGGTTCTTTACTGGGGGAAAAGTAGAAGGAAATGTTAAAATACCCAATGGCACGATCAGAGTTGCCAAGAGGACAGAGCTGCATGGCACAACAAGACTCTGGGATGGTGGTAAAACAGATCAAAAAGGGAAACCTTACCATTATGGTTACTGGGGAGATGCATCAGAGTCAACCACTAGTGTGAGAGATTGAGTGATTGAAAATTTAAGGATTTATGCCAGGAAGGTCAGTTATGGAGTGTTTAAGCCATTTGGTATGGTGGTCATTAAAGTCACTGAACATAAATATGTGTGCAAACGGATGTAGAGAGATAGCCTTGTCTATATTATCGAAAATGCTATCGAGTACACCACAGTCTTTGGGGGGGGGGATGGAGAGCAATAGAGAAAGAAGAGATAGCTTATAGAATTGAGGAGAGATAGAAACATGTATGAACAGTCTGGAGATTCAAGACAGTTCCCTAGCCTGATGATCCTGTGCCATGCATGTGGGTTATGGAGTTCTTTCTAAGGAGAGGAAGGTAATCAGGAATCGAGAAATCAGAGGATTAGATTTATGAATTAAGGTTGGTCTCACAGAGAGCTAGTATATCAGGAGACTTCTCAACAATGAACAATTCCATACTGGAGAAGTTGGTTCGAATGCCGCAGATGTTAGAAAAGGTAATTTTAAAAGAGTTTAGGTGATTTTTTTGAGAGCTGGTTTAGGTTTACTGTTTTGATTGTTTGAGGTAATGTTGAGTAATGTTGGTAATGGAAGTGAAAGGCCTAGAGTAACAGTAGCTGACAGTCATTGTATGTAATATAGACAGAAAGGAGCTGGTGCAGCCTGCAACATAATGTGGTCTCAGGAATTGAGAAGTCAGGAGGGTATTGACGAATTAAGGTTAGTCTCACAGAGAGCTAGTATATCAGAAACATATCTATGGTAGTGGAATCAGGAAACCACTTTTCTGAAACAAATTTAGCTCTTAATGCTATAAAGTAATAAATTAATTTTTTGATATACTTATATTAGCTGTTTTTCATTATGTACTGTTCATGAATCTAACAGGTTTCACTTCTATTAGATTGATAAATGTTTTCTATTGGTTCTTAGTCTTATGTACTGTCCAAAATTATCCGGAAATTTTAAAGTTTCATTCTCATTGTTCAATAAATTTTTCTTAAATGTTCTTCAAAATCAATTTACTAAATTATTTTATGTGATTGGACAAAACCTGTACATTGTGGACAGTTGCCATCCTTCCAAAAATGTTTTAAACATCAAAATGAAAATAAAAAATGAGAATAAATGTGTTCAAATGTGTTCTAAAAATGCTCTACGTAAGATGTGTAAGACATTGAGGAAAAATAAAATGATAGAATATACATGCTTGTTGATAAAATGGTAAAATCTTACTGTCAGCTGATTTGTAAAGCTAATGGAAAGAATAGGTTTTTGATATGCTTGAATTTCATCAAGTGCAATGACTATAAATAAACTACCTGTATAAAGCAGTGAAACAACTTCCTACAACAATTGAAACACTAATTAACAAGCACATAATTTGAAAGCCTCTTAACTAGATTTTCTCAGAACAAGTGTTGGGATTGCTTGTGGAAACAGGAGGCAGTTACAGGATATTACAAAAGGGGACTTGAAAATTATCAGTGACATATATAAAAAACTAAAAAGGAATGGTTATGTTGTGAAGCATAGATTAAGGACAGCTTACCAGTTATTTAACCATTCTTTGTAAAGGCAAAATAATTTTCTGTTTTCCAAAGAAAATTGGCATAAATAAAACCAAAAGAAATTTAGAATAGAAAGAGCACACAAATAAGAAAAATTGAATTAAATCATAACCATTCAATATTTCACTTAAAAAAAAAAAAAAAAAAAAAAAAAATCTTTATATAAAGATTGAACAGTCTTAGTATTAAAAGTATGTATATAGCAAAAGGAAAAAGATTTAGAACCATGAATTTTTTTTCAATAGTGTTGATATTTTTAAGTCAAATCAGAATTAAAAAGGTTGTTTAAAAATTCTATCTTTACCAGTTATAGAAAAAGATTTGTCAAAATAGGAGTAAATATTTTATCTGCAATTAAATGAATAACTATATTAGTTTTAAGTATTTGTATTATAAAAGCTGAAAATTATACGAGACAAGTGAAAATAAAGTTGCATTAGTAACAAACAAAAAAAAAAACAAAAAAAAAAAAAAACACAAACAAAATATTAATTGTATAAATGATCTTTAACTGTAAGAATCTTTAAAAAAAAAAAAAAAAAAAAAAAAAAATCAAACTGTGCATATATGTATATGGTGGTGCTAGCATGAAATTAAGCAATTTTTTTTTATAATTTTGATGTCAAAGTTGATAAATTCAGTGAAAGATTACTTGCTCCTTGAATTATAAATTCTGCTGGCCTTTATTCTGAACTTCATTTACAGTTAAACATTCCAAAGATTTAATGAAAAACAATGTTTGAGATTGTAGCAAGTTATGAAAAGGTACATTTTAACTGTTTTTATATCAAATTAGAAGAGATAAGAACTTTCATAGTCTTTTTTTTTTTTTGCAAAATCCAGTTTCCCCAACAAAGTACCCCCCCCAAGAGATCCAGTAATGCATTAAGTACTTTCAAGATGCCATAATAAGAATAATAAAAAAGTAAACTTTAAAATAAACAGAAAATTAATTTTCTATTATCAAATATCACTGAATTATCAATAGTTCAGTTTGGACAAAAATTTAGAGTAAAATTGTAGTGGTGAGGAAATACAAGTGTGCACAGAGATAATTTTAAAGTCATTGATGTTAGTAAAATTAGAGAACATCACTCAAAGACAACACAATAGCATTACCCTCAACCATATCACAAAGATCATAGTGTGTGTGTGTGTGTATATGTATGTATTTATTAAGAGAAAAAAGTCACAAACGTTTTTGATTATAATGTGGATTTTTATATATATATATATATATATATATATATATATATATATACACACACTTTATTCTACATATTTTGCTATGCAAGTTTTAGATCTTGTGACCTTTTTTTTCCTATGTTAAATCTTTTAACCACTGTCTTGTGTGTAGTAGTAATCATTTGAATCTATCTTGGACTGGCTGAAAAAAAAAAAAAAGTTCCTTTCTTACCTATCTTACATTCATAAAGTACATTAAAATATGTGAGGGTAGGGTGAATGTCATGAGCACAAATATCAAAATTTTATTTTTTAAACAAATTCATATGTCATAAGTTTGAAATTTTATATAAATTTACCTAAAATTTTAAAATATTTTTCACATCCCATCCATTACCACACATTCTATCTAGATGGCTGTATTATTAAGATCAATAATGTAGAGATTAATGAGCTCCCATGAATTAAACATGGGTAAATTAAACATTGGGATAAGTAAAATTCCTACTTAAATATAGTAGAAATCATGATTTCAAATGATTATTCTACTGAAAAGTAGAATTATTAAGTGGCCAAAAAAAGTTTGATTTATTAAGTAAAAAGTGTGTTTATTCTTGCTTTTTGTTTTAATTAATACTCTGCTTATCTGGAAGAACCAGATAAGTCCAAGATCTCACTCCAATCTCTTCATATGCATAGAATCATATTGATTCTTTAAATGTAGCATAGTCTTCAGTATAGTTAGTAGTCGTTCATTTTTATTTTCCCTACCATTGGTTCCACTTTGTAGTCAATTATCCAGGATTGTTTCAAAAACATAACACTTATGTTTAAGTAACAATTCATTCATGGAAATATAATCCAGTATGTTTTTATTTATTTTTATGGTGAAAATTATTTTCAACATTTGATTTGAATATTCTGAGTATGGTAGCTATAAATCTCAATTGGCCAATCCAACCATGGGGAATAAAACATTGCAAAGAAGTTTTGTTATGCTTGATCATTGACATTATCTTCTCCATAAACTACACTAATCTTTCATTTTTTTAATCTTTTTTAATTTTTTTTCTTTTCATCTTCAATGTTAAAGTCAAGAACCAAAAATATGCCAATTGGGAGAATTTTCAAAATGCATGATGGCAACTGATCTCCTTGAACATAGTTAAAATGCTCATGATGCTATCTAACAACACAGAAGAAATGTTTTTGACTATCCAATAACAATGATTTTAAATAATCCCACCATTAAGTATTCAATTATGCACCTAAAATATCCAAGTAGTTTTAGCTACATTAGATTCAATTTTTTTTATTATTTTTAATTAGACTGATTTTAGAAACTTCAAATTGTATTTCTTCCATCATTTATAGATACTGTATTTAAAAAAGTTTAAAAACATTAGTAGTTACAAATCTAAAGAGAAGCAACACTTAATTATATAGATATTCTATAAAAATGTCCTATCTTTTGGAAACAACAACAAATAAATGATATCTGTGCCCATGGGTTATGCTAGTATCTAAAAGGAGAAACAAGTGGTCAATGACAAAATGTTACCTGCGTGCCAGCAATGTGTGGCTTTCACTTTTGTTCTCCATAATCACACATGGAGGAGAATGTTGCACGTGATGCAGAAGGAAATACTAACAAAATACTCAAACTTCAATACTTAACATTTGTTGTTCAGCTTTTTTTCTAGAAATAAGACAGAAAAGCCCAAAATGCAACTGAGAGAGAGAGAAAAAATTAAACCTGTAATGAATATAACAGTACAAGACAAAAACAACCTACACATTGCTTCCAGTGCCTGTAAAACATTATAGACTAGAAAAATAAAGTAATATTTGCCCTTTATTGCACTTACAAAAAACATTTTGAAAGAGATACTTCAACATAGCATTCACTTAAATACAGTCAGTTGATTGTTCTGTACAAGTACCTAAATAATCACACAAAAATACTGAACATTTTACAAAAATATCTTTCAGAAGATAAAGAAATTACCAGGAGGTGCTGAAAACTTTTCAGCTTGACCCACTTCTCCAAATTTGACCCCTACCCCTTTTAATAAAATTCCCTTCTTGATCCGGTTGAGAACTTTTCAGCAGCTCCTAATCTGTATACCAAAAGGTTGACGCTAGTATAGGTTAACAAAATGCTCAATGACAATAGTATTCTATTTTATCAGCAATTGCAAGAAATTCCAGTCAGTTCATTCAAGAAATCATATATACATTATATTGCTGTTTATATTTTATTTATCATTAACAATGAAAAAAGTTCACACAGTAAAATGTCTATACAGAAACTGTCATAAAAACAAACAACTTACAGCATTAAATGTAATATTTGTAGATTTAATCAGGTTTTGTCATTTCTTGAGAATAAGCTTGCTTACAAAGCAAGCAAAAGTGACAAGCACAATTGATTATATAAATAGTGGGGTGGGACCATCAACATGCAGACTTAAAAGTAACCCAAAAATAAAATTTTCAAACCTTTTACCTGTTTTTTTTTTTTTTTTTAACAATGAGCAGTTAACATATGAGAATCACATATATATAATAATTGAAGATTATTGTATACAACACAGGTATCTCCAGAAAGCTCACCAGAAGAAATGGAGTAGTCAAAAGAAATACTAAAAATGATTTATTGAAAAAAAAGAAAGAAAAGTTTATTACTTTGTGAAGATGAAAAATTACATTAAAAAAATAAATTAGGGCTTTACTATTTTTAAAGGATTTTGTGATGAAAGGACAAAGTGTTTATGATATTTTCTTAATTAAAAATAGAATTGTCCTACTCTCTTGTGCTTTTTCATTTCTGAACTCTTGTATCACTTGTCTAGAATAAAGTTTTTAATATATCCAAGTCACTACAATTAACAGTTGTACAAAATTTGTGTATTACTTGCTACTTATAATTTGATAGCAACTCAGATATTCATTACCCAGTCAATAAAAAGTAATTTTTTTATAAGACTTAAAAATTATAATTAGATCAAGAAAAAATAAAAAAAAAAACAAATTAGTGGATGGAAACATTTAATATTTATCATACAAAGATATTTTTTGTTAAACTTTTCATATCTCTCATGAAATGATTGTCCAGCCCAGGTATAAAAAAGTAAAAATAATTAAAGTTTACTTCTTAATATACAGAAAATATTCTGAGAAAAATCAGATATATGAAGATAAACCAAGTCAGTGAATTCAATATAGTTTTCAAAACAACCTTTTCAATTTTTAATAGATTAGGGAGTTTGCACAACTTTCTAGCAGTGGGAACAAGTTTATATAAGTGAGGTACTGAAATGTTCTCATCCCAACTAAGAATTTCCAGATAAAATAACTTTAATCTTATTTCTTATAAAGGTAAAGAGAAGAAAACTTACAGGTCGAACCACTCATATTCTAAATACTCAGAAATATCCAAAGCATCTGAGAGGGTTGAGCTATTTTGGGATGAATCCGAGATGAAACTACCACCACTGGTTTTGAAAACACTGGAAATAGAAAAGGAATACAGCAAAAAAAAAAAAAAAAAAAAAAAAAAAATTAATCAAATAAAAATCATTTTTTAGCATGTCTCACCTCAAAATATGAATTCCCTTTAGTCATGCTGCTTTACACATTTAACTAAAATGAGGGTATAAGAGACCATTTTAAATAAAAAGACTAAAATTGTATGGATTGAGTGTTTAATAATAGACTGAAAAGTGAAATGTTTGTAAACAATTTTTAATGCAAATAAGTTCTCTTGACGTATGCAAAAAAAAAAAAAAAAAAAGAAGAAAAAAAAAGGGGGTGGATGGTGGAGACAAACTTGTAATAATGTTAGTGTAAATCCATTCCTAAATTAAACTGAATTAAAAATAACTTATCTTTGCAGAAAAGGTTCATCAACCCAGAATCCTTTCATAGTGCCCATGAAAATTCAGAATGTAACAAAACCTGCTCAAATTTTGTTTTATAGATTCTCATAATATTGCGGGGGTGGTGTCGTATTAATTTATATATTCACAACTTCAGTATTTACCAAATGATTTCACCCCCACTCAGTAAGAAAGAAAGAAAAAAGAAAAAAAAGAAAAAAAAAAAAGCTTTTTGACAACATGCTGATTTTGTAAAAAAAAAAAAAAAAAAAAAAAAAAAAAAAAACACATTACAATACAGTAAAAAAATTTCACATATTTCTTTTTATAGCTGTTTCCAAAAGCCTATTCATAAAACAATAATAGACAATACATCTATTCACAAAATAGAAATACAATTTTTGAAAAACCATAAAATAAAATGCTTGTTTATTTGCTGACGTTTAATTCCATTCCATTTTTTGGGGCCAAATTAAAATTGTTAAAAAAATAAAAAATAAAATAAAATCAGAAGCACCAAAAAAATGAAATGACCCTTCCGAGATTAATTTGTGAAAACATCATTATGCTGCTTCTAATGAAACAAAGACTAAAATCTTGTCTTAAATGATTTATAAAGTGAAATTTATTAAAAAAATTGAATATCTAAAATTCATAAATATCAGCAGTAAATATTCAATTTCTGTAAGTTTTTGTTCTGTAATCTCAACATAGAAACTTGCACTTTTAAGTTTGGCTTAGTGATAAAAGCTTGCAGAGTTAATTTTAGAGGCCTTTAGTCTAACCTCTTTTCAAGTATTTACAGCTTTACTTTTAATAATATTAAATTGTCGGTAAATGATGCTTATTAGCGTATTCAAGTAAAAAAGGACTTGATTTAAAACTAGAACAAGAGTTTGACTTAAAAAATAAAAAAAACAACAACAAAAAACAAAAAAAAACAATGGGAATTTGGGATGAAGAATGGATGATGAAAATTTGAAAAACAAATTTTTGTGATACTCTTAGTTATATATATCAAATAAGTAACATTAAATTAACCATTGCTTGATTCTGAAGTGTGCTTAACAACAAATGAATCATTTAATCATTATTTCATAAGTATAGAGCATCAGCTTCATCCTTTTGGTATCTATCTAATCATAATTTGTAAATTATACTGTAAATTCAAGTTTTGACAAACTCATAAATTTTATTAACTATCTGTATATATAATGACCAAATTCAATTATCTCTCAAATTCCTCAAGATTTCATTTGGAATTTCATTATGATACAATCTATCCCAATAGATGTAATTATGCATATTTTCTTTATAAAAGATTAAAGATATTACTTTTTAACAATTCCTAGACTGAATTAGCATTTTAATTAAAAAAAAAAAAAAAAGCGTACATAAAAATAAAATTCCCTAACTAGCCATTTATTTCCATTTGGATATAATTGATAAGTACAATCACCAAGTTCTTGGCCCTTCAAGTATATAATAAACCAAAAACTGCCAACATTTGATAAAACTAAGACCTCTTGACTAATTGTTCTTCGATTTTTAATAGTTACAGCACACCAATAGACAAATGAAAATAGTTCATAAATTCACTATTACTTGATTAAAGATTTCAAATAGGCAGGTTATAGTTTAAAATAAATCATTCCACTTATTCTACATGAAAACAAAAATAAATTTGAAATGGTAAACAAAAATGATATATACTCACGTATATAATTAATCAATAAATTTGTAAATAGATGTAACAGTTTTCTGCCACCGTCTTTTGTATGTATCCAAGTACTGTGTTAAGTTTACTAATGGAGAGTAATATTAAGGTAGTGGGCTGATAGGAGTAAAATAGGATAACAACTTAAAAATAGACACAGATCAATACTTCAGTACTTTATGCAGAGCATAATTAGAGCAAGAGAAAGAATCAAAATATGGAGCTGATTTTGAAAGGGACATTCAAAATCAATGAAGCCAGACAAAAAAGTATTGTTTAGCTTAGACAGATGTAGTCAAACAACTTGGATTAAAACTACACAAAGTTTACAACAAAAATTGGTAAAATAAAAATATATTCTGAAAGTAAATCAAGTTTTCATTTTTTTTTTTAACACTGCACGATTACACTATAGACAAGCATAGATTTTTTTTTTTTACTGCAATATTTAGAAGGATAAAATTTCATTATTTTTTGCCTTGAAGACTTATTACTTGAAATTTTAAAGCCATGGTACTGAAAGAAAAGAAATAATTTTTAAATTAAGTTATTTTACATACATAAGTGATAAGAGCAATATTATGGATTGTTCTGAAGAAACTTATCAATAAAAATGATTCAGGGTTGCTGAAAAGGTTTTGCACTTTGAGAACCTCACTGGATAAACTTAAAAGGATTAAAGAACAACATAGCTATTAAAAGTCCTATTATTAATGAGCAACACAGCACAGAAACCATGTATGTGTCAACAATGATAAAGCAGTAAAGCTAAAAAAAAAAAAAAAAAAACTAAGAGGATTATTTCAAGATTGATGCCTTAACAAGGACAGCTGCAATAATTATTAACAATGCTCATAACATTTTCATCAAGAGTTTACACATGAAAAAAAAAAAAAAAAAAAAAAAAAAAAAGTATTTACACACAGGTAAGACTAGAGCAAAATATCTAAGAAAGCACTGAGACCAAGTTCTTGGAATGTAATGTCCATACAAACCAGGGCTTAAAAAAAAAAAAATAAATAAAAAAGTATAGTTGCTTCAAGCAAGTTACCTCAGTAGTAAAAATACCATAACACATTTTCATATTATTTATAGTTAGTCATTCTTTAACAGCAGCACATAAAACAAAAGAAAAATTGTTTGTACAAATTGAGAGAAATAAATAATAAAACTCAGTAAAACAATGAAAAAATATACATGCAGGATAACTAAACAAATAATGGAAAATATATCTTATTTTTCCAGTTGCATAAAAAAAAAAAAAAATTTTTTTTCAGAATTTTAATAATAAAAAAGGTTTTTTTTGTACAAGAGAATTTAGCTACATATTAGTTATACTAGAGAGTCATGATGAGTAGTTGTACCCTCACTGAGGATCCTTGTCTTAAATGTCTGTTGGGACAAACTCATTGCTGAGCTCAAGTGAAACATATACGATCCACTGCTAAAGATGCTGGAAAAATGGTTGGTTTCTTGTACTGTTCCAGGAAATATGTGAGGATTCCTGCCATTCTCTATCGTTGTAAAGATCAGACCAAAATGGAGTTTTCATGTCACATCTTATTAAGAGTTGCTCAATCCTAACTTCACAGCCTTGAGAGAGTTCAAAAGTCTTTTCACAGTATTGTAGGTGAATTATTATTTTCAACCCTACAACACCTTTCTCACAGACTGAATACTATCTCTATTCATAAACATTCAAGCTAGCTACAACGATTTGTTCCATCAATTCAGGGACAACTGATCCTTACTTCTTTCATATTCCATTGGTAAGGAGGAAGTTCCACCCAGACAGCTTCTTTCAAAGAACTGTTATTTAGTGGAACAGATTCCTGGGAAGATGCTTCCCCAGTCACTATGAATATGATCTTAACTCTTCAAATTTAGGGTTAACCATTATCTATCCTTCATATCCTCATAATATGCAATTCTTACTTCTCTCACAACTTCATTCAGTAACATTCTACACTGAGTAGCTATTAGGCCTTGCATTGGGTGAACAACAGTACATAAGGTTTTATAATAGGTTTATGCATGCAATCCACTTTAATTGATCACTCTTGGCTAAATCATCATCTTTTGTAAAAACTAAAATCTTCAATTCAAAAGAAAGCTAAAGTTGGACATAAGACTTGAAATTCTTCATTTAAATTTAACAGTATATGTAGGACACAAATATTGGAAAACTGTGAAACTTATCCTGAGTAAGAGTAATGTCTTTTTTCTTGCCATGTCGCTTCGGGACAGAGTCCCTCCATTTATTATCTATTAGCTTAAAAGCCACCCTATTGGGTGGCATTTAAGATAACTCCTGCCAAAGGTTCTCAATTGGGCCTTAATAGGTAAGGAGGAGATGTGATAGGCAACAATAAACTACAGAAGAACTCAAAATTGACTGCTACATTTAAGTTTTGCATTAGTATTTAAGCTTACCTTTTAAAAGTTCAATGATAATTTTTCTGCCAGCACTTAATTTAAAGACAATTTGATGTATGTAAGCCCTTACATTACATACAATTATTTCTATTTCATGGGTGACTTTTTCAATTAATTTCAATTATTCCCAAATTTATTTTCAAGTTATAAAAATTGTATCATAAAAAAAAAAAAAAAAAAAAAAAAAAATGTTGAAAATAATCACAGTAATGAAAACTTGTGAATCCCAAATTTCAAGATTGTGGGTCCAGATCTGGCTTAGAATGTTTTTAATTTGCTCATGGAGTTGACCGGATTCCAAACTGGTATGATTTGTTAGGCTATAGTCACTATAAGAAGAGTTGAAAACAGACAATTTTATTTTGAAGCACTGTAATTTAGGTACCTCCACTAATTCATTAAAAAATACTCTGAGAAAAGAAAATTAGAAAATTTAAAGTTTACTTAATGTAATTGGAAACAAACATTACTTAATTTTTTCTGCTAAAAAATTTAGTTGAAAATAAGAGAAGCAGGTCTAACTGTGGTGATTTGTTTAGGAGGTGTGAATTGACGATTATGTTGATGTATCAACAACATATGTTGGGGAGTTATCGGATAAAATGATGGAAGTGACAATATTTTCAAGTTTTAAGTGAACCAGCTTATTTAACTACACAGTAATTTTTATTGTTTTTTTTTTTAAAGTAGTTTTTTTAACAAAAGATGTTTCCGCCCCTAAAATCAAAACTAAAGAAAATAATTGCAGTATGTCTCTCACTGAAAAACAATGATATTCAAAAAATTAGATTATGATATTTAGTGAAATAGGATGTAAAAAAGAAAATTAAAAATTTTGAAAATGACAATAGAGAATTCAACACATGCTCACCAAAAGGAAAACAAAAAATTTTCTGAGGATGGATACTTGTTGTCAGAGGAAACAAGTCTTAAAACTAAATGCTTTTTATGTTTATTCTCAATGGAATTTATGGAGGAGGGGGTGGACCTAACAGATGCTAATTTAAAAAAGAAAAAAAAATAATCTAAAATCTCATTCATTTGTGAATAAGTTCTGAAAATTCCATTAAAATCTGACAATTATTTGATTTTTGTAAGAATTTCCAAATCAATGTTTCTCACCTGAAAAAAAAAAAAAAAAACCAAAATTTCGAATGTGCTAGAAAGGATGAAAACATTTTTCTATTTTTATTTTTTCATCCTGCTAGGCTGCTTTTTTTTTTTTTTTCTCCAGTGAATTAGTGGAGACTAGCAGTAGAGCCCGGCGTTGCCCCGGGGATGTAACAGTAAGAGATAGATCAAGTATCGACCATCATAAAGCCTGAAAAATAAAATTTGACAAAGATTATTGTTTAAGGTTGATGGACACACATGTCTTAATTAGTTTTTTTTTTTTTTTACGAATTAGTCAAACCCAAACAAAAACATCACTTTCAATCGTTATGAGTCTATCGATTGAATAGAATTTTATTATGAACAATTGTCTTGTAAATGGAATTTTTAAAGCATTCTAAATGTAAAAATAAAGAAAAAGGGTGCAAGACAATAAGAAACACTAAAAAAAAAAAAAAAAAAAAAAAAAAAAAGTGAGGTTTTGTTGAAATCGGTTGAAAAATGTAGGAAATCCGATCCCATATATAAACGAACACACACACACACAACATGGGTTTTATAACAAGTATAACTCGATACGAGTTGTTCCCCTTTCATTCCGGCAACAGAATCGTGTTTTATTGTGTTTTCAAATTGATTTCATGCAAAAACAATTGTGTTTTTCCAATTTTTGGCGCTGTCAGAACCATCGCAAGGTAATTTTACACAGTCCTGTGAAGATTTGTTGAAATCAGTTGAAAAATGTAGGAAATCCGATCCAATATATAAACGTACAGACACACACACAATCTGCATTTTATACTAAATAAGATGCCTACATAATTTGAGAACTAATTTTTTTCATTGGAACATCAGCTACTGTGAAGGTAGAAAGTTGTATCCCTTTGTTTTTATCAGTAGAAGCAAAGATGGTGAAAAATCCAAAAACAATTGCGGTAATGAGAACTTGGAATCCAAAATTTCAGGATTGCAGGTCTGGATCCAGCCTGGAATGTTTTTTTACTTTGGAATCAGGCTGGAATGTTTTTTTACTTTGGAATCAGGCTAACTCCATGAGCAAAGTGATAAGATATGTTGGTCTACAGTCACTAGGAGTAAAGTTGAAAGTGTGACACAGTGACATTAGCATTTATGATTATGAATTTCTATAACATTTTTGTGACTGGTTTCACATTATAAACAGTGGAGAAGGCAGAGTACTGAGTTGACCTAGACTGGGCTCGAGAGCTTAGTTTAGTCTCTTCTGCTATTTGATCCAGAATTGATGGATGTTTCCTAAGGGTATTAGTGCAAAGTGAATACAGTTTAGACAAAACTTGAATTTGGCTTTCTGATTTTACTTCCTGCCTTAGAAAAAAAAAAGGTTAATAAAAGATAAAATTTATCTTGCTGAATCTCACATTTTTTATATAATTTAAGATTTAATTTTGCAGATAATGCATAGTGATAGGAAATACATGCTAAGATCAGAGTGCAATTCATGAGCAGGAAGAATAGATTTTAAAGTTAAAATTAAATTATATAGGACTCCTTGGTCAATTTCTTGTTTTGTTATGCTCTGTATGCTTCTTCATGACATAAGTGATCATGGTTTTCTAGGTTCTTTTTCTGAGTAGCCATGACTTCTTGTGATGGTTTCCCTTTACCTTTTCTAGTTTGGAATTCAGAATTTTTCTTCTCTTAGATTGGTTGTCAGCCACAGTTAGAGTCCAGTCTATCCTGCTTTATAGCTGGGATAAGAAATGGATTCATGGCTATCTCAAGACTCAAAGAGCATTGGTGTGGAGATGAACACAAAAGACCAGGTAGGAAATTGAATAACTTAGAGCAATCTGGTGATGCTACTAACAAAAGATATAAATGATGCCACAATGAAAAATTCATAATATTCTACACAAGAATTCGGTGATTTTTTTTTTTTTTTTTTTTTTTTAAGCCTTTGAGCTTCAAACGATGTCAGCATACCTTACATTCCCTTTGTTGCGTTAAGCTCGCAGTTTGAGGCCTCGGAAGCTAATTAAGTGTTTTGTTGTTTGTTTTGATTGCATTTCAGTTTTTACTCAACTCACCTTAGAAAATTGATTGTGTGTCGGATACTTTTTAAAATTCAAAGAGAAGATTTAAAGAATATGAAAAGAGAAGATTTAAAGAATATGAGAAATATAAGGGAAGTAAATCAGTGTTTGGTATGTAGAGACTCATTTGAAGTGATAACAATACACACGAATTCTTAAATTAGAAATTGTTGCAATTTAAATGTATCTATTCGAAAGAATTGTAAGGATAGAGATGTAAATTCTTTTCATCAGACGTTGAAGAAAATTTTATTTTAAAATCAATTTGTGATCAAGTTAGAAAAATTATATATACAAATTCCATTAACAATGAATCACACTTAGGAATTTTCAACCACCAACAGAATTTGAAGGGAGAGGCAGGCAGGAGATAAAGAAAGGTAGCCCCCAGTGAATCATGCATGACATGTTGCCATCAATAATCAAATAATTTTAACGCAAAATGTATGCGAAATATGTATGCCTCACATTTTTCTGAATCAAAGGAAAATAAAATAAAATCTACAAAAACAGTAAATTATATACACATCTCATTAAACTGAAACAAGACATTTAAAAAATAGTTTGATCTTCAAATTTTTATGAATAAAAATAAAATTTTATTAATTGATTTTCTAAGAACATTTTTTTTATCAGTAAAATAATGTAATGAATGACGGTAAACGGGTAAAGTTTTCGATTCTGTCTAAGTAAGATTTAAAAAAGTCAATAAAAACTAGGTATTTCTTAACTCGCACCAATAACTAAGAAAAAATTGGAATATTAAGAAAAGAACCTATGATGCAATAATTTAGACAAAAATTAACCACCTAAAAAATTAAAGTTTTTAAGCGTACATAATCTCAACAAGACTGAATTGAGATTGTTAGATTGCCTATCTACCAACACAAGCAAAGCTTTATTTGCACTATAAGCAGAGTAAACAGTAAAGAAGGAATTCTGCTTGTTCTTAAAATAACTGGAATCAATCTTCTAAGCTACTTTTAAAGTTTATTTAGTTGTAATTTAAACCTTTTTACAATTTCTATTTTCTGAGGACTAATAAACTGGACTTGTAGATTTTATTTTTATGAAAAGGCAGGTTTCAAGATGTATGCATTTTTTGTAGTTAAAGTCGATCAACAAACAAAACCGATTTTTATCATTTAGTTGGTAATCTTTTGAATTACTTCTGGGGTCTGGTTCACTACCATCTTGCTTGCTTGCTTAAAAAATTGTAGTTGCCTTAGCAACAGTAGAAAAATGTGTGAATGTATTTTTTTTTAAAGTAGCCGTTAAAATATATAATCTTAACTTAAGACTTCGGTTTTGGTAAATAAATTGCTGGTAAACTTCCATTTAAATTTTTAATCCGATCTTCAAAAATTTGCATTTATCTTAAAGATTTTTGTACCCATTCATACAAGAATAACTTAGAGGCTCTGCATTTTTCTCTTAATTAAAAATTTAAAACCAAATATAAAGTTTGTTATTATAAAATCGTTATTTCCACACGTAATGCGAGGGAAATAAACAGATCGCATGCATTTTTCCCCCGCCAAAAGTTATTTAGTCGGAGACAAGTTTTAGAAATCACACCACAAAGTCATACATCGAATAAATAAACATCTTTATTTTAACAAGACGACGAGGGTTAAATTTGTTTTAAATAAATGTTTTATAAGGTATAATTCTATTTCAGGGAATAAACGTTTCCTGCCGATTTCTTAAAATTGTAATTACAATAATTCTAGAAAACAAAAACAATTATTTGCTTACTCAAGCTATAGTACAAATTAAAAAATGTGCACAAGTCGGAAGAAACACCTACAGGTATCTTTTTTTGTATGTACAGTTTGTACACTGTATACTTTAACAACACTAACAGGGACAAAAACAATCTGACCGATATATGTATGTTTCTTAAATTAGCAACGCATTTATATCACGTGACTAAACATTCAACCCACTCACGCTTACCGTTAAAAGCAAAAAGCTAAATTTTTCATTTTAAAGAAACTTAAAATCAAGTAGCTAAAGAATTAATAATAGTGAGCACTTGAGGAATTTCAATCAACATATATACTAGCAGCAAGTGAAATACAGAGTTGAAAATATGAATAATCGAAAGAAAACTAAAATATAAATACAAAGTTTTCTACTTACCGCTTTTTTTTATTTGAAGTTTTTAACTTGAATGCTATTTTTTTTAAAATACTAGGAATATACATATTTCAATTTAAAATAAATCCATAGAGAAATGGTAATGGCCTACATAGAATTCAAACTCATGCAATTCTGGCTCATTGCAGACATTCAAATGGGTTAAAGTCGACGCAAATTACAAGGACAGCAGCAATTGGTTAGCAGTTCAAGTTTTCAACCAATCACAGTTGCAGACACAATCTCATACGCGCACACAGCAACAAAATAATCAAAAAGTTTTTTAAAAAAATATTTATCAGTGAATGAATACTCTTCTTTGATAAGGTATTCTAACAGAAAATGGAGTAAGGATGTTTACCAAGAACATAAAAGCATTGTATACAACAGTAGCTTTAATTAAAAATTCACAAGAACGTCTTTTAACAGTCTAACAATTTTGGTTTAAAAATAAATTGGGTTTCAATTCATTAAAAATTCTGATTGAATTCAAACTAAAATAAACTAAACATACAAAAAATAAAAATCCAAGTTGATCAGTTTTATCATTTAATGATGGAAAAATAGAATTCAAAATTTGTTTTCATACCTACTACCATAAAAATTTGAAAACAAAAAAAAAAAACTATTGAGTTTTTTTAGTTTAGTTAATGTTGAGTAAAAATAAAATAGTAAAAAATTATTTTTGAAAAAGGATTTAAAAAGTTTCCATATTTATGAATTTATGGTTGCCATTTCCTGTGTACATTGGTGGTGATGATAATTCTGTCTGACAAAAAAAAAATGCTAAGGGCTAAAAGTGTAAAATAAAAAAACAGTAAGATCGCCTTTGTTCAGTGGGAAGGTAAAATAAAAAAAATGTTTTCAAAAAAATGGTAAAGCAGCAGGATTCGCTACACAAATGATGCTACGTATGATAATTACCGATATTAAGCGAGACATGTAATTGTAATGATTCACTTTATTTTGAACTAAAAAGAAAAAAGGCATTTTTATGTGAACTAGTGAACACACAAAGAAATACCTCTCTTTGTGTTCAATGTTCATTGAACACAGCACTTGCGCAATGACTAAAACAGAAAAATATTATTTGCTTGAAAACACTCACATAGTCAACTGAAGTAAGTAGTAAAATATGCTCATTTAATTTCAATTCCTAATATCAACAACCCCAAAGCACTTTCTGACATAAAAAAAAACTACATGAGCAACCTCTCCGCAGCTTCACCTTGTCCGTGGTTAGTGGTAAAGTCGGACAGCAGTATCTTTAAAGACGGTTTTTTTAACAATTGTAAGAGAGTGAATCTTATCGGGAGCCCCACCGTCATGATCCAATCATATTTCTATAAATTGCATAAATAATTTTTTTTTAATAATGGTAAAATTATCTAATTTGTGAGTAAAAAAAACCATCAACAAACTATTATTAAAAAAATGTCACAAGAATAAATTATTTAAAAAAAAGAAAGAAAAGAAATAGATAATTTAAATTTGATGTTTTCATCTTTAGTAAATTTTTCTATAACTTCAAGTCTAACTGAAGTCCACAAGACAGTGAAATGAAAAGTAAAACTATTTGTAGTTGTTAACGTAATGCAGTGATTACCAGAGTCTCTCATAACACAAGTCATTGCTTGTGAGTTTAACCCTCACACTATGCTCCATGTAACGTTGTATCAAAACTTTGTTCAACGTTGTGACTACCAGCCCAGATAGAATCAAAATTTTGGTCAGAAGTGTTTGTATTCTCAGTGGATTCAAGCAAATTTTAGCAAGAATTCAGATTTGACTACTTATTTCATGATTTAGTAGTCATACAAAGTCCTTTCTAACAAATGTACAAAACAAAATATACAAATCAAATTTCTAATCCATGGAAATGTCTGCAATTTTATAGAAAGAATACAATGGGGAAAATTATAGGATCAAATTCCACTTTTAGATGATTATTTCTTTATATCCATTAAAAAGTTTTTCAAGATGACCAAGTTATTCACATTTTGACATGGTGTATATACGCCTTTATCCACTGTGATATGTGTTACCTTAGAGAATAAGGGAGCTTGAAATATCAATATTTATCATCTCATTGGGATGTTTTTGTTTTTATTAGGAGAGAGAGAGGATGTGGCATTATGGTGTATATACGCCTTTATCCACTGTGATATGTGTCCTTGTTGTCCTCAAGGACACATGGCACAGTGGATAAAGGTGTTGGTTATCCAATGACAGCACCCAAAGAGTGTGATGTTCAATACCCGGATAAGGTAGTGGAGAACTTGGAGAGGGGAATTTAACAAGAGATAACTGACATCCATTAAACAAGGTGTGACGATCATCATCACACACATACATACATACTTATGCAAATTAAAAATATACAATAACAAGCATTCATTGGATAGTAAATCAACACTACTGCGTAATACAACAATTTTATAATCCCTATATTTTCATGTAGTCGATTTTGTCCACTTTTGGGAGAATCGGATCCCAGAAGTTTTTTGTGAGTCTCCCCAAAGCTCGCTGATTGGTCAATGCCAACCAATCAGATTGTCTGCACATGAAGAATGATTCTTTTCGCGCAGCGCTTTCGGAGCCGATGATCACCTATATTCACAATCTTTTTTTCTTACACAGCAAAACTGTTGAAAACATTTATTACCATAAACTATTACAACCTTATTTCTTTCAGTGAACTTTGGAACAATTAATAGTTAAAGAGAGACAACTCTTGTTTTACTCAATGCATGCTTTTCTTTCACATCCTTGTTTGTATCTTGTTAGTTAAATTAAAAATACAAATTTTGTGTAATGATTTCTTTGGCTTATCCTCTTCACTTCAGTTTGGTTTCCTAATCTAAGTTAAATAAGTGTGGTGAAGGCCACCACAATGGCACGTGGAACTAGAACAGTCTACCCCAGTGAGCGAAATAAAGGGTTCAGTTCGACATTCCAACTACCTGAAGAAAGCCGGAGTGTACAACGGCCAAAACGCTGTAATAAATATGGCGACAAAAATGAGGACAATAGTCCGAATAATGTAAATAGTGAGGAAATTGTAACGAGTAATTGGGTCGTGAATCCGATTAGTGAAGACCAGCCTCAACCCATTACCCCTTTTCTGGCTTGTGCCATAATTTACAATAAATCTCAATATCAATTTTTCTTACAGGTTAAGTCATTTCCATTATTCTTTCTCTCGATATTAAAATTAAAAACGAAAAAGTTTATGTAGTAAAGTAAATTAATATTATAGCAATAGGTGTCCAATGTAAGATGCTGAGGATGTTGAACTGTAACATTCTTTGTTTACAGTATAAAGAAATTATCAGGATTTACTGTATATTCTTTAGAGAACTTCTTTAAATCAAAGAATCTTATTTACTCACTATAAAGCTATTAGCCCAAACCAATAAAAAAATGGTACTTAGTCATTAAAATACCGATTTTGGGAAGCAGATTTGACTAAAAACCTCAGTATACCTTCATATTTCTTATTTAAATATCATTCTGTGAATTTTTGGAATTATTTTTGGCAACCTCTTTACCCCAGATATTGTAATGATGGTTGATGGAGAGAAATTTATTGAAGGATAAAATTAACTTAAACTAGACTAGTACCTCTATGTTCAACATTTCACTTCCTAAACAAACAATATTTTTCCATTATTGAATAATTATGAAGTTTTATTTATCAGTATTAACATTACATAAATTTTCATGCCATCAAAAGGGGTCCAGTACATGAAGATATGCAATTTTCTGGATATCTAGAAACTAGTGCAAAGAGCAAAATGTTTTTGAATGTCAGAATATGAAACTTAAAATTGAGCATTGTTCATTAAATAATTCTTAAATGCACACTGAAGCATTTATAAGAAATAATATGACTTTAAAGACTCATTGCTATTAAAGCTTATTCATCCATCCGACACAAAAAGCAATTCTAAACATTTTTATGGATGGGGAAGAAATTTATCAAACCAACCTACACCGTGGTCCGAAAGTCTTGTCACCCCTACATAATATAATTTTCTATTTCAGATATCTGACAAGCTCCTATAGTTTGGAAGATATGGTTAAAGTGACAAGACTTTCGGATCACCCTGTACTTCCAAAATGATCAAACATCAAAATTTCATTTGGAATCCTTTCAATCTACCACATTTGAAAGGAATACTAAAAATACATAATTGGAATTAATCATAGTAAAATTTCCATTATCTGTATTTTTCAAATTATCAATTTTTCAAACTGATATTCTATTTAGAAATAGAACTTTGTTTTGAAATTGACCCAATTATAAAGGGGAATAACTTCGGTTTACTTAAAGCTACGAAGCAATAACATTGCCTAAAAATAACAGCACTTCATGAGTTCCATTTTTTCTCGATTTTTAATATAATCAGCTGAACTTTTTAAAAAAATACTCTTCACATTAGAATAGAACTGACAGTTAGCAACGATTTTTAAATTAAACAGCGATGTATAAACTTTCAATCAAATTAAACATGAACTAAAAAACACTACTAACAGACTTCTTGTACGAACAACGAACATAGAAATAAAAGAAAACAAAGGCTAGTTACAAAAACATGAAATAGGCTCGATTTGTTAATCAAATGGGAAATTACCTTTCTTGTATTAAAAAAAACAAAAAAAAAAAAAAACAAGCTGTATTTTAATTTTTATTTATTTTTAAAAGCACACTTCGGTTTTTGATAGTTTACATTTTTATTTTTTCAGTTTTACGGAACTGAAAAGAAAAATCATAAATATATGCAATATATCCCTCTCTCTCACTGTTAAGAAAAAAAAAAAGAACCCACTTCGCCTTTTCACTTTAAGTGAAAGAATGGTGGGAAAACCATAACACCGGAAGCTGAGTGAGACTGAATGCGCAAACAACAAGTTTTGTTCAAATGCGCATAGGCTTTCTATTGAGGTAGTAATTAACAAAATAAGATTGAGCTGTAAAGCTGGGTTTCCGAAAGGAGCTTTTCATTGCTTACAAAACTAAAACCAGCAGGGAGAAATATGGCGAAAATTAAGAAAACTACCGAAGCAATGATTAGAGAAAGGACAATAAACCGCGATTTAGCGAAAGCTCGAGCGGCTGAAGCAATGAGGAGAGCGAGACAAGATCCCGAATACAGGGCCCGTGAAAGAGCAAGAAACGCTGAAGCACAGAGAAGGAATAGAATGAACGAAGAATATCGAATGAAAGAAAGGGCCAAGAATGCATTAGCAAGATCAGTAGCCAGAATGGATGATGGATACCGAGAGAGAGAGCGCCAGAGTAATGCCCTCTCTATGGCTATGCTCAGACAAAACGAAGAATACAGAAACAGAGAGCGAATCAGAAATGCCAAGGCGATGGCACTAAGTAGAGCCTGCAAAAAATACGAGAAGCAGCAAGCGAAAAGAGAACAGGAACGGATTACGAAATCAAACAACAAAAGCTTTCTAGTATTGTCCATGGGCAGTAAAGCAAGGAGAAGTTCAAAAACGTAAAGAAGAAAAAAAAGATATCCCCCAAAAATAAAACTAACCGCAAAAGAAAAATCATGGTGAGTCGCTCTCACACTTAAAGACTAAGTAAAAATACAAATATTATCACTCCAATCTCATGACGGCACGACATGCATTATTCATTTTTAGGAGCATTTTTTTTTTAAATAAACTGTGTAGAGGAAAAAAGCGACAGAACTACATAGATTAAACGATAAGTTTTTTTGTTTTTACTTTAAATCCTCGCATCATCCTGTTTATCGTGCAATAGGAAGATTTGTAAATAAAAGTGGACAGTAAAGAAATATCTGGTTTGTTTTTCTCGCATAATTTACCTATCTGCTGACAAAGTAATTTTCGCCTTGCACTTTTTATTATCCTAACTTAGGTTTCTGCTTTCTTTTATTGCAAATTCCGGCTTGAGTTTTCGGTTCATTGTTAAAACGACAGGCGACTGCGAGGTTTCTTTGTTTAAAAAAGAAAAAAAGAGAAAGGTAGTCACTAGTGGTTCCTGTGTGTAATGCGATTATTTTTCTTGGCGTGAGAAAAGCAACAAGATCCTGTACGAATCTGTTTGCCAATTTACCTAAATATTAGATTTGATATTTTTATAATTTGCAAGACCGAAAAAAGTCTTCCTTTTGGAATCAGAAGTCTAAAAAAGTTAGTCAATAACATTGACTACACAACTACAAGTCACTAGTTTTTGTTTACAATATACATCATTTTCCAAAGCGTAAACGACAATGACCAGATTTTTAAAAATTTATATAAAATTCTGTAGAATTATTTTAAAAATTCAAAATTCTTTCGATGTTGGTAAAATCATGTAAGTACCAAGAAAAACATAAAAAAAAAAACAATTATTTTAGCATGGCTTTCACTTCAATCCCCCCCCCATTTTCCGGAAGATTGTTAAAATTAAAAATGAACAATTTTGCTTTTTTACTCCTAAGTAAATATTTTAAAAGGTGCAAAATAAAAAAAATAAGAAAAAAAACAGTAGCTTATGATTATTTTTATTTTATTTTTAAGAAAATATGTAAAATCGCTATTTTAATGATGGAAGAAAAAACTAAATACGGGGAAAAAAGTATTTACATCTATTATTCTAGGTAACTGTAAGTGTAAAATAAACTATAATTAAAAAAAATTATTAGTGGCTTAAAAAAAGTTAAAAAAAACGAACAATAAAAGGTAGTAGTAATAGTCAGTGACAGACCCCAGCCTCAAAAATAAAAGAAATTTTGCGTATGGTGTATATTTATTAGTTTTCTATTCATATGAACCAGCTTTAAAATTATTTTTAATCTTTTCACTTTTGAAAAGAGTTTTTGTGAATTAAGTTTTTACAAGATACTTTTTAAGTTTTAACCCTTCAATTTTTTTTTTTAGTAGTATTTGTAAATTTTTTTTAGACAACAATAACTGACTAATTTGACTTACGAACATCCTTGAAATTATTTTTCTACCACAGGTAAGGAAGAAATTTGTTACTTTGAAAGTATTTGAAATTTACTGTAATTGCAAGAAAATAATTTATTGAAAACCTTGAATAAAATTGTTCAAACCAAGATGTTTTTACCTATATTAATTTCATAAAAAGACAAATGGGTGAACTGTAAAAAATTGAAAAGTAAAAATTAGTCTTTTGTCAGTTTTATTTCAGAGCTTAAAAATAAAATATTGAAGTTAAAAAATGTCAACTTTTATAACAACACTACACTACAGGTATTTAGTTATTTTACAGCAGCAAATATTTGGATTTTAAATAAACATCTTAGCATTTTATTTTTACTCTTTTTTAATGTTTATTTCCTGAAAATTGATTAGTGATTAATACACACAGAAAAAAAATTGAGGGGGCTGTAAAATTCTTGACTTGACCAAGAAGAGATTAAAAAAAATTGTTTTAACAATTTAATAGTCACATTTTGGGTAGAGTGGCTTTTTTTTTCTATTGTACTGTGTGTAAAACATTCAAAAAGTAAAGTTGAACAAGAGAAATATCAAACTGATCGTGATCAGTTTGATATTTCTCTAGTTTAACTTTACTTTTTGAAAGTTTTATATATAACACACACAGGATAATAGAAAAAAAAAAAAAAAAAAAGACACCCAAAATGGGACTAAATTGATAAAACAGTTTCTTTTAATCTCTTCTTGGTAAAGTTCTCAAGGATAAGCAATGACATTTCAATTCTTACCAAAAGTATCTAACATTCTTTTTATTTAGTGGGTCTGAGAGTTTCAAGTTAAAAGCAACAAAAATGATGAGCTATAATGTGGACAAATTTTTAAAATGAACTTATTAGATATAACTTGTTACATTAAGATTCACTCAAGTGACCAAGATTTCTCTTCAGTTTGCAATTATTTTCAATCATGTGGCATTTACAATAAAATAATGTGCATAAATTACTATCAGTTATCAACAATAACTTTTTCCTCACAAGAAAATAATACTTAGAATATATTTGAAACAGATAAATCTTTTAGTCACATGGTTGAAGGATTAGAAAAAAATCTATGAATATTTTTAACTAGAAATTATATTAAAAGGTGTACAATTTAATATTTAGATTTTTTTTCTTTTTTAAATGTGTTCAATGGGACAAATAACCTAGTAAATACAAATGTTAAGCAGTCACAAGTTCAATCCTTGCATCAGGTTGCATGAAAATAGTCACACACTTGTTGGGTGAAAGAGATGAGAATTAACTGATGTTAACTAGTATGGACAGTGAAATTAAGGACAATCTATTCCCATGAATTGAATTATTTGATTAAAAAAGCCTAGAGGGTTACCAATCTTAACAGAAGGCCTGAGTTTGAAACATTGCAACAATAACAATTAGGACAATACATTAATTCAAGTATATCAGGTAATTCCTAATCCAAAAACTTCAAATATGATATTTATAAAAATGTACATTAATTTCCAACTTTCATAAAATTAATCATTGATTACTACAAAACCTTTAAATTGAAAAGGGTTTAAGATTATTTTATTCATATTTACTATGATAGATTTAGTATTAGGCTTGTATAATATTTATAAGTTGGATAACTAAGAGCTAACTGCAAAAAGGAAAGTGCATTTAGTTCATGGTTTAAAAACATTTGAAGAATTTCAGAAAGATCTGTAAAATGATATAACAATATAATCTGAAATAACATTAAGTCCTTTTCTGTTAAAAAACTGAACTTATGCAAGAGTTCAATTAACTCTAAATGAACTTTACTGAAGAGTAGTTATAGCATTGTAGGATAAGTTAAAAATTCAACAGTAATCCAGAATGCTGTGAAAGGAATGTACTCCCACATTTTCATGATTATAGAGACTTTTTATTTGCTACTTTGTTGCTTAAACAAGCAAGTGCTGAAAAGTTCTTTGCCCAGCCTAATTCCTCAAATCTGACCAATCAGAATTTGTTTTCTTTGGAGAAGCTTCTTAATCAAACCAAGAACTTTTCAGCACCTCCATGTAAGTACTGTAATGCAGATACGAATACATATAAGTGAAATTAGCAAATTAAATTAAACTTAAGCAGAAGCAATTGTGAAAGAATGTACAACTTGCTAAATCCAAACTTTCTACACTCTGAAAGATATGTTTTTAAGGTGAAAGACTTAGAACTCAGGCAGCAAAGATCAGTTTACTCAACAAATTGCTCTATGTTGGATCAAGAACACTGATATATCATTTTGGTGAGCAGAGTAAAGAGAATAACATGAACATTTCCAGAAAAAAGGAATCTGCTGTACAAGGGTGGATCAATAAGCACAATTGAATTTTGATCAAAAATTTATGCTTGATTGACATGATTAATTTTCATTACTGGATTGACAAGGAAGGAGATTATGTTGAAAATATTTGTGTAATAAAAAAGTTTAACATTTGGCTGTGAAATTATTGATGTACATAAGATTAAAAATATTTTAAAAACATTTTCATTGTAACAATTTGATTTAAAGAAATTTGCTGAAATAAAAGGCAAATTTTCTTTAAGATTATTTTGTAAGTACATAGTTCTACTAATTTCAATATTATACCATGTTATCTGTTAATAGCTGAAATATTTAAGAGGAAATAAATGTGAAAGTTTTAAAAGCAATCTGATTCAAAGGATTGTTAATAATACAGAAAAAAGGTATTTAAAATGAAAATTCCGATTTATTTCTATAGCATCGTTTGATTGAACCTTCTGCTCATTGAAAAAAAAAAAAAAAAAAAAAAACAGGAAGACTTTTCTTATAAAATTGCTTTGATATACAAATATTCATTTTAGCTTAAAAATTTATAATGAACAATAAGTTAACGTATTTTTCTGAGATTTCAAAAAATATTCTATACAATTAAAGAAAAAGACACGCGTAATTTTTTGGACCTTTGGAGAAATGTTTAATTGAAGAAATTGTTGATTCATTATAAAAAATGTCATAAAATTAGCACAAATCAGATTTGGTAAAGAAAGAGAATTTGAAAATCTGAGATGGCACTTGTTTTCTGTGCACTAAATGTTTTTTGTGTGATAGGAGACAACTTCCTCCGCACTCACTGTCATTTAGCAGATAAAAAACAGACTTTTACTTTTTAAAACTGGTATGCCACGAGAGTTGGTCAAAGAAAATTTCATTTGCTAATTAACTGACATCACCAAAAAAAAAAAAAAACTACCAGTTTCAAGTGATTTGAAAACGAGATATTCTTGAAAAAATTGCTTACAAATTTGTATTATTTGTCAATAACTCAGTGAAAAAATTAATGTAAAATAATTTTACTGGCATCCATTATTTTTTTTGCTTGTATTAATTTTCCTATTCGTGAACACCAGTCATTGGCATTTATTGTAAAAACTTAAATACAATTCAGCATGTGACCTGACCTTGGTTGATGTTACTGACTGAATAAGGTAAAAGAGAAAAAAAAAAGTAATTTGGTATTAATCGGACATTAGTTTTAATTTCTCAAAATCTTTAAAAAAAAAAAAACAATTTTTTTTTTACACCAACCAATATTGACGATTATGATTTTTCCACCTAAAAAATCTCATGACTTTTTTTCCCAGCCTTCTCAAAATTCAAATACCTTATTCATTAGTCAGTAAATGATTTGCAGCGTAACTCTGAAGAGCGCCTAAGAGAATCGTTTGTTTTTAAAAGTGTTACAAAGACCTATTCATATTTTCAAATTCCTAATAAAACTATTTTAAAATTCATTAAAAAAAAAAAAAAAAAAAAAAAAAAAAAAATGAAAAATGAAAGAAAACTTCAGTCACTTCAATTAACAACTATTTGGACTTAATTAAAATATTGACATTTATTCGGACTATTGTCCTCATCTTTGTCGCCATATTTATCACAGCGTTTCGGCCGTTGTACGCTCCGGCCTTCTTCAGATGGTTGGAATTTCGAACTGAACCCTTTATTTCGCTCACTGAACTGTTCTAGTTTCACGTGCCATGTTTGATGGATGTCAGTTATCTCCTGTAATTTCCTCTGAAAGTTTTCCACTGCCTTTGGGTATTGAACTCACACTCTTTGGGCCTTGTCACTGGAACCAACGCCTTTTTAACCAAAGAGTGTGAGTTCAATACCCGGTTAAGGCAGTGGAGAACTTTCAGAGGGAAATTAGCAGGAGATAACTGATAACTGACATCCATCAAACATGGCACGTGGAACTAGAACAGTCTACCCCAGTGAGCGAAATAAAGTCCGAATAATGTAAATAATACCTCATCTCAGAAATATAGACAGACTCTAAAATATTGACATCAGCTAGATTTGCTGTGAGTGTGAAAGTAAGCTATTTAGTTTTAGTGTCACTGTCAATTGAACATAATCTTCCTTAAATAAGGAAATAAAAAACGGACAAAACTAAAAAGTAAAAACAGTGGAAGACACGTGTCAATTGTTTTGGTTTGTATTTTTTGTTGAATGTTGATTGTTCTTTTTTAATAATTATTTTTTTTTTTTTTGTTAAAAAGTAAAAAATCATCTTAATTCTTGTTATCCAAGCGAATAAAGTGCAGATGTTATTTTCAGTATTGAAACACGCGGGAGAATTTGAAAAGTCATTAATAGTCAAAAACTTTAGGAATAAAGTTAATGAAAAGAATTTCTAGGAAGATAGCGCGCGCCATAAAAAATAAAAAAACACTACCCAGTTAAAATCTAGCAACAACTTAAGTTTTTTGTCTACTTTTCGACGAGCCACCTATAGTTCTTTTGGCTGTAAAAGTAGTTCCCATTGCACAATTAAAATACCTTGAAATTATAAAATAAAAGAAAACGGAATTAACAAGAAAATGATGAGTACTACTGGTACCATGTAACCCAGTACTAACTGCCAAAGACATGTCACGCATGAATGAATTGAATATTTCTTCGGCTTTTAATCCAGGAAAGGAACTGGTCAGGTACTCAGCGACGTTATGGCCACACCCAGTCATTGACGGATGATGATGAATCAGAAAATTACAATTTTTTTCTGGAAATTTCGAAAAATCAATGATACGAACTAACATTTAAGACGAAGTAAGATGTAAGTAAACAAAACAAAATCAAATGACTGAAGAGTCTTGAAGAGTGATTTGTTTTTTGTTGTTGTTTAATTTTTTTCGCTTACCTTTTTAATTTAAAAAGGTAAAAAACTGACAACTAACAAGAAATGTCCAGACAATTAAGTTAAGAAGCTTCTTAATTATTTTTATGTCAGGAGTTTCATTTCGCAATCATCACGGCTGCGACCGGAAGCCTTTGAAAAATGTCAACAAAGTCAAGTTTGAAATCATAAACAAAGCGACTTTTGAAATACGCTAAACAATAACTCATAATTAAATGAAATTGAAGTTTAATGAATCTGGAACTGAAAAAATAGTTCTATTTTTTTAAAAAAAGAGAAAAAAACTGACAACTAAATTTATTTTTTGTGTAATTAATGAAGATGGAAGTATTTCAATTTCAATATAAAAAAAATAAAAATCGAGTTTTTGTTTTCGTGTGATCAATTTTATTTTAAACGAAAAATTTTTAATTTCTTTTTTATTGCCATTAACAATTAGCTCAAAAAGTTTTTATTTTTAATAAGGAATTAAATAATAGAAAAAAAATTAAAATAAAAAGTGATAGGCAATTTTTGACTTCAATAGTTTAAAATTAAACGAATACAAATACCCAGACTTTTGGTTAAAATTTAACCAAAAGTCTGGGTATTTGTATTCGTTTAATTTAACCGTTAAATTGTCAATGTAAAAAAAGAAAGAGAAATTGGATTTTTAACAGAACAATGAAATAAAAAATAAACGGTTTCTTACTCTGAAAAAATCGTGAAGCTGAATGAAGTTTATATTTTCAAGTCACCAGCAAAATCCCAAGGTAATATTAAAAAATCCTATAATTAAATCCTTTGTTAATTTTCAAGGATATAAAAGTAAAAAAAATAAAAAAATCCATTATTAAATCAATGCATCTTTCCTATTTTTGATACGAAGTAAAAATGAAGAAGACGCTACATTTTTAAACGTTTTACAAACATTAAAAAAAGGAACGCCGACAATTAAGTTTTTTTTTCCAAATGTACAATGACATTTAAACGAGTCATTTGGTCAAATAATTGTCACTTTATTACCAGTTAAATTGAGAGCAGACCAGCACCAGAAATGTTTATTCGCATTTTCTTGGCTCATGTGCCATCAGTATTATTATTTGTAGCCTCGTTAAACTTGATATTATTACATAAACAGCGTATTTTTCAGTTTTCAATTCTGAGAGAACAAAGTAAACTAAAGATTTGTATTCTAGTTTGATTCCTCAAGGGTTAATTTAATTTCTACTGACAATTATCAAAAATATTGTCAAAATCATTTGATTATAACAAAGTCTAAACTGAAAAGTATCTTAAAAAAAAAAATTAGTCTGCGGTGAATATTCGTTAAAAATGGTAGTTTTTCCTTCGTCTATGAAAGTTTCCATTTTTAATTTAAGTGGCTACTACATTTGATAAATTTAAAAAGAAATGGATTCTTGGTTTTAACGTGAGATAACATTTTCCATTTATTCTAAGAGTTCGTTAATGAACCTCATCGAGTCATCAACAAAGGATATGACGGATGTTAACCGGCAACTTCATTTATCAAAAGTTACGAAAAATAAAGACTGACACAAATTAGTTATTTAGTTTACAATTACATACACACACATATGTATGTATATATAAGTAAAAAGAAAAAAGTTTGCATTGTTTATTACTTGGGATGCGAATTTACGACTTTTTGTTTTTACAATTTGTTTATCAACTTTAGTAAAAGTGAAAGACTTACACTTCTTACAATTACATAAATATCCGTTTTACTTTTTTGACGGATAAACATTTCTTCTTATCAAATGTTAGAGGGCATATTTTTTTTTTTTTCATTTTTTCATTTAACAGCATCTCTGGTATTGGTTTACAACGCCGAACCAAAGGATTGTCTTTTAAATAAAAGACGAATAAAATCAGTAAAAATTACGAAGAAACAAGAAATAAAAATTCAAACCAACGTCTTTTTACTGGATTCGACAACAAAAAGTACAAAAACATAACAAAAATGTGTGCGTGCGTGAGTTTTGTAACGTACGGTAAAAAAAAAAAAAAACTGTTCATTTTTTTAAGTTAAAAGTAAAAAAAAAAAATCAATCGTTACTCAAGTTCAGAAAAAAAAATTGCAAGAATGAATCAATGTATTTATTAAGATTAAATTTACTGTTTTCATCAAATGAGGGCCGTTCCATAAAAACGTAAGCCAACCAAAGACTTACAAAACAAGTATTACATTTACTTTTTAAAAACTAGTTCAATGTTAAGAGAAAAAAAATGTAACTACTGAATTTTGCTCATTTAAGAATGGATTAAAAAAGCTGGTTAGAAAAAAGAAGTTGGATAGGATGGGTTCGTTAATAAATTTCTTTTGGTTCGGGAGTTTACAGACACTGCATTTTTATGAAAGATATTAAAAAAAAATAAATGAAAATATAAAATTAAATAAAATAAGTATTGCTAATTTGCATGTAAAACGGTATAGAAGAAAGATAATGTCATAGATGACTATTTGTAGGCTCGAACCCCCAACCAAGTAATAAAAAAAGCTTTCTTTAACGAATAAAAACTAAGAAGTCTGTACAACATTAATGGAACACCCGCCTTTTTACTTAAAAAAGTTACTAAGAAGTCGGTTAAAATGTAATTTTTATTTATATACTTACCTCCAAATACAAGATATATGAATTGATACTTTTAAAAACACCCAACAAAACTGTTTTCTTTTTAAAAATCCAGGAATAAGATCATCTTCATCATTATACAGATGGAGGTGTAATAATTAGTTTATTCATCCAGGGTGTTTGGTACTCCTTTCGATTGTTCCGTTCGTAGAAAAAAAATTAAAAATTGCAGAAAATAATCACAGTTCAAAATGAACGAAAAAGAATAGTTGTTGTGTCTGGCGTGTATTAACGTGAGTTTTAGACGATGACTTTGTCGCTTTTGTTATGATTCAAATAACGACTGAAAACAACAGAACACAAGCGCAGCGAAAGTTTTCTTTACTTTCGTAAACGGTAGTTCACAATCAAATGGGCCAAAGGCAAGAGGAGGAGGAAAAGAAAAGCGGCAAGAAGTGATGACGTCACCCAGAGAAGGGGGCGAGGCCGAGTGACGCCACGGCCGTTGGCCATGTGCTTAAAAAAAAGAAAAGGAAAAGGGAAGATTGTTTTTTTTTGTTAACTTTTATCAATGTCTAAGACTTTCCGTTATCACTAAATTCTTTTTTTGGTAAATATCTTTATTCTTACCAAGTTTCATGCAGAAATAATGCTTTATTTAAAAATTTCTGACTTTGACAACATGAACAATATCACATACAATTTTTTAAAATTAAAATGGAAAACATCCAAAAATTCATCTGAATGAAAGACAGGATATGAAAGACTTTCCCTGTTAGCGAATGATCACAGTTTAGTTACCACTTTACTTTGTGGATGTGAGTGTAACATACTGGTCATCAGCCCATAGTTTCTTGCATTCACTTTTAAACAAATACTCTTGGGAAAGGTATGAATATATCAATTCTTTCCTCCCCCAGCTATTTAACCAATAGCAGGACAGACTGGGCTCTCTAACCTTGGTTGGCATCCAGTCTAGGACAACTCAAAATTTAAAATTGATTGGTCTTTAAAAAAATCACAACATGAATACCTACAGGCTGGGGCATTATGCTCAACAGAGAGTCTAATGAAGTTTGTTCCTGTTGGTGTTGATATATATATATATATATATATATATATATATATATATATATATATATATATATATATATAAAAATTGTGTACTTGGGCATCAATCCTCTTTTATACAAGTTTCATTGAAGATAACTGACAAAATACTGCAATTAAGCTTTTGATTAAACTTGTATTTGTACAAGTGGTTTCTTTTCAGGACATAGGGTGTGTAAAAACTGTCCAAATTATATGTAGATCTGAGTGATTTAGGCTAATCTATTAGCCATTATCAAGGATGTTTTTTTATAACTGAATATGTAGTTATTTTTGCATTTATATATAAAACTAATATTAACTCCAGTCTAATGTAAACCAAACCTTATTGTTCCTTATCCTATTATATTTAAAACTGTATCTGTTACTAGTTTCTCTGCTAGAAAAAAAATAATCATACAGACTGATTATCAGTGAGCTGGATCCTCTGTAGATGCCCCACAATCACACTTGCATGCTTATGCTAAGACATAAGTGTTATGTGGGCATACCTTATTGAATGAGTGTGTCATCAATCGGCCAGTTAGGTAAATCACATTAGTTACTTTCTTGGCTCATACTAAAGTGTAAAGAAAGTCATTATACAGTATAGAAAATACTTAGAAGCAGCTTAAGATTATAAAATAGATATTTTTTATATGTTAGCCTTTTTTATTATTTTTTTTTAAAATGTTTTTTAGGCATTGAGAAATTATGCAAGTCACCTTTCTTTGTATTGGAGAGTGAAGAGAACAAGTCAAATGCTGTCAAAAAGTGCTTTATATGTTCACTAAAAAATAAAAATAAAACTTTTCAATACTATTCAGTATCATACATTTTCTGTTCTAAGCTCATTCAGTTTTTGTAGTAATGGTAATGGTAAAATTAGCCATTTCCATATAGGAAACATTCATTAACTAAATAATTAGTCTTATTGCTGGTTGAAATTTAAAAACTCATTCTCTTACAACAGTTTTTCAGGAAATTAAACTCCACAAATCTGTTGTTACAGAAAATAAATAAAAAAATACGAATGGCAACGAAACTTTGAGAAAGAAAAATAAACAACTAAATAGTTAAAAAATCCTTTAAAAGAATAGAAAAATGGTTTATTTTATTATTACATATATTTTCAGATTATTATGATAATCTTTGCTGCTTTTAATACAAGGGCTTTTGATGGATACATTTTTCTCACATATATGTTTCTAGAGCTGTGCAAGGGTCTCATGCCTCCTACCTGAATCAATAATACAGGGCTCCCCACTCTTCTACATCTCAATTTTCATATGGTATTATTCATATAAAATATAAATTTACCTAATTATGTACAATAATGGATCATATGCAATATAGGTGAACAATTCAACTAGAAAAATTGAAAATAAATACAATATAACTAAGTACAAATTAGAGACATGTCATAATAGATCATTCTATCTTAAAAAGAAATGAACAATGTTTTGCATCAACTTGGGATTTTTCTTGTTAAAAAGTTGAATAATTTTAACACATTCAATATTATGTTAAAAAAATAGTGTATTTTATATTGTGTTTTTCAAGACTTAGTGTAAGCAAACAAATTCATGGATTTAGATAAAAAAAATCTCCAGCATGACATCAAAATCTGTGAAAATTTTTCATCCTTTAATAGTCAGTTGAGCTTAGTTTAATTTGTAACATATATAAATGTAAGTAGAAGAAAGCAAATGTTAAGATAATGTGGGTCACAAAACATTGCTTGGAACCCCCAGTCAGACTTGGGCTCCCCAGTTGGAGGAGTTTGGGGTAGTATGCACTGGTCCTGATTGGTTCTGCTGGTTTTAAGAACTTTTTTTGTCTTGTTTTCTTTTTTCTTTTCTCATCATGGCTGTCACAGTTATAGTACTGCTTTATGTGTGTTGTTGTTGTCATTGTTCAGAGTTCAGGCATTTGAACCTATAAATTCCTGTAGAGCATAATGTTGCACCAACATTGCTGAGTAATGTGGCTGCAGTTTCAGAAAGTTTTATAGAGTATAGTTACTAGCTCCATACCCAACTGTTTGAAATTCAAAGTTGTTCTTTTCCTAAACTGGTTGCCAATTAAAGCTTAGAAAAGCCTGTCTGCCCTACTACCTGACACATAGATTGGAATAAGGTGGGGTAGAGAAGAGATGGCTTCATGCCTTTACCAAGAGCATTAGTACAAAGTTGAACTCAGCATTCAGTATTTAGTATACAAATTACTTAGCATTGCTCAATATCCTTACTGACCACAGCAAGGCTCAATATCATGAGTGCCAGAGAAAAGCAATGATAACAAAGTTGCAATATGGGCTCTGGTAAAAACATGCAATGATAAAAGCAAAAATTGCAATAAGAGCACTGGTAAAAAATGGTTGCTGAAAACATTAGGTTTATAATACCCAGAAATTCATACCCAGATGTCCTCAAGGACACATGGCACAGTGGATAAAGGTGTTGGTTAGATCAATATGTGAGTTCAATACCTGGTTAAGGCAGTGGAGAACTTTCAGAGGGAAAATTAGCATTAGATAACTGACATCCATCAAACATGGCATGTGGAACTAGAACAGTCTACCCCAGTGATCGAAATAAAGAACCTGAAGCATACAACGACCGAAACATTGTGACAGATATGGCTGCAAAGATGAGGAATAGTCCGACTAATATAAATACTGCTCAATATCATATCCATCAATTTTCATCATATCCAATCTCAGTTTTAGGAGCACAAGCTGTTACTTATGTATAAAACAAACAAAAAATAAAATAAATAAATAAATCAATCAATGAAAAATGTTAGTATACAAAAACAATTTGATTTGATTTGTTTAATGACATATGGGTCATTTAATGCCAAAATTTAATTGGTATCTTTGAAGTAATAAAAATATCATATAGGTTATTCTGCTTTCACAATTGAATACATGGTAGATGATGCTCAGCTTTTGTGGATATACATGTTTGTGTGAACATCATTACGAGAGACGGTGATATGTGTGTTTTATGTTGTAGTGTTGTTGAAGTTATATTTTAGAATACAGTTTGATTTCCTTAATAAAGTGTAGAATATATGGATTAATGCCATGAAAAAGTTCCTTCATGTTCATTGATGTATTTTTGGTAATTTTACTATAAATAGGTATTATTGGTAATTTTTTTTATATATATAAATGTATTGCTGGTATTTTTTTTACTATAAAAATGTATTTATGTACTTTCATAGTTCTTTGTTTTTGTTTGGGAAGCCTACAGCTTTCAAAATACGATGGATTGATATTTCTTTTTAACTTAAGGCTCGCTTTATAGTTTTTTATTGTTCCAGTTTCAGGACTTGTATTCATAGTATTAAGTAATCATGTGTTATTAATATTTATCAAATCAATTCCTACTAATCTGTGACTTTTTACAGTTTACAATAATATAATACGATATAACAGTGACAGTTTTAAATCTATTTTTTTGTTTCAAAAGTGTCTTAAAAGGACCCTAATATTTTTATACATGTTCCATCAAACTGTCTTAATCTTACTAAGCTTTTCTTTAATTTTGGTTTCGATAATTGTTGCCAAAAATTCTTCAGAATAAGGGTCATTTCACGTCCAGTGTCAACTTCCATTTTTAAGTCTACACTTAATTTAATATTCATGAAGGTGTTCTTTTTGTTTCTCCTTTTTATTGAAAAACATTTGTTTGACTTTTTACATCATTGTGTATTATTTTGACAGATTTGACATTGGTATCTCTCCATCTACATACCACTTGAAAGTCATTTTTCTTTTTATACTTATTACATGTCTGTCCTCATGCTGGGCATTTCTCTCTTTGATTCATGTTTATAGTTGTAATATCTACTTTTTATCATTGTTCGTTTTATCACACATGTGTCCATAAGGTCAGGTTGGTTTTCATTTGTATTAAATTTTTCAATTAACTCCTCTTGTTGTATAAAGTCAATACTAGCTTCTAAAGTCATTTGGTTTGTCTGTAAATGTTCTAAAATTTTTACTCTATGAGAGTTGGTGTACAGTCCTTCTACCAATCAGAGTTGAATTCTTCCTCTGTGATTATTCTTTGTTGTCCTAGTTCATGAAATTCCCAATATCTGCTGGTATCTCTTAACCTTCTTAGATATTTCCTTATAGGCTCCTCAAATTCTTATTTCAATGCTAAGAATTTGGTTTGTTCAGCTATGACTAATCTTTTCTTTGGTTGAATATTTCTCAATAACATTTCTTTGACTTCCTTAAATGTCAAGTTTTCGATTTCAGCCAGTTTGATCATTAACAAAATCTGCCTAATGGCTTCACATCCAGCAGTGGCCAAAAATAGATCCATGATTTCTTTCTGTCCTTCAGGTGTTTGGTCATCTCGTAACTTCTTTATTCTGGCACATGCCTCAAAGCATTTTATCCAAAT